TGTCTGTTCCGCACAAACGACTTGGAATACTGGAGATTGATTCCCTTGGATGTGATTGATCAGGACTTCTATGTGTATAGGACTTATTCGAAAATCGAGCAGAGCTCAATTTATATTGGAAGTAAAAGAAACCCCGAGAAAATTGATAACGAGAGGTTTTCGAAAGGTGAATGGAATCACAAGCTAAAGAATCGAACGATTCCACCGTAGCATTGTGAGAACCTCAAGATGATCTCTTCATCTAGAAACTTTGTTTATTTGTCGTATATGATTTCCTACAACAATTGTGACCTTTAAAGTTGAGTCATAACGGATTATACTAAATCACATATACCGATCTATTCACTCCACTTCGGTTGTGCTTTGTACACCAGTATCAAACATGCACGTTATTTCTCATTCACTTTTCTCTCCCCATCTTCATCTGATGGTTCTCCCATAACTCCAAATATTCAATCCCACTTTCGAGCCTTTTTCCACCGGTAGACCAGCATGCCATGTTTCCTCATATCCCCTTCCGTCCCTGTCAGTATTTTCCCAGAATACGGCATTTCCCTTGATGGGTTTGAATGTCACTCCTTCTACTGTTACATTTTTTCCACTTCTTGGATCTAACGCTTCAGTAGTATCGAGGAATTCCTCCCACCTTCCTCCTTTTGGGCCCACGATACGTGGGAATTCCGTTCCTCCGCCTTTGATATCGGAGGATACGTCGACGTAGACCATGAACGTACTTATTCGATCTATGCCACGTTTACCTCCGCTCCAATCGCTATTTCTATCATTAGCCCTCGTGTACACAATACCTCTTCGGCAAGCGCCATGTTGGTAGAAAATAAACAAAAGCCTTCGTCACGCTCCCAAAACTTACAAATGCATCCCATAATGTCCCCCCACCCCATACCTCTGCGTCCTCAACTTCTCAATGCCCATCTCACCTCTCCATCCCTGAAATGCTCTCGCTCTATGCTCAATACATCTAACCACCTCATCTCTCTCTAGTACTGCTACTTCAGAATCTCGCACCGAAGTATCAACCTTAACTTCCTGACCATGAGAAACCGTAGACGGTTTATAAAGCGGTTCACTATCTGATCAGTTTCTCCCGTTCATTTCATCAGAATAAATATAAATAACATACCTAACATCCACCAAGTGTTTACTCTCATTCGCTTTCAAAAACCCTTCAATATATATCATAAGTGGTTCCCGACTAATAATGAACGTCCTATAACTATCTTCCGGACAAAATAGGGGTTCATCACTCGCGATAAAAGAAGAGTTTAAATTGAGAGGTTCATGAAGAGCAGATTGACGACCGTAGATGATTTGAGAAAGAGGTGTCCATACTAGCACATAAAGTGGTATTAATGCGAAAGCGTAGAGAAGCATGGTGATGAAATGTGATGTTTGGATACACACATGCCGGATTTGGCGGGAGAAAGAAAAGGAGGTGAGGTTTAGAATTTGTGGAGATGATCACGTGCAGGGTACGTAATATTGGGGAGCTGAAGATGCACAACGACTGTCGCCATTCATCGGTACTGTCGTCGCATGTGGATCTTCATTTCTCGTATTGTTGACTTCGATTTATTGGTTGTAAAGTAAAATTGAAGTACCCTAAGAAGTTGGCAATGAAAGTAAAGACAAATAACTTCAAGAAAGTTCTTGAAGCAATCTGTCATCCAAGACCTAGTACTGGTCAAGGCCTGTACAACGCGACAAGATCATTCCAATTCTTGGAAGAAGCTTCATATATCTTGAAAAGAACCCAATCATTCAAAACCCCAACCATACTTAAGAAACGATGCTCTTTCAAAAGTTGAAAGCTTGGATTAGTCTACTAGTCCCGCTTCTTAGATATCATCACATCATCATGTACAGACTAGAAATTCTAGCTTCAATTCTAGTCTCCAACTTCCAACCTACGAAATCAAGATATCTTTTGATTTGAAGCTTATTTTTCATTACACATTCTTCAAGTGTCCTCTTTTGGGCTTCATAGGTGCTGCGACAATACTGTTATGGTGTACATACAACGTAATTGTTACTGGAATATCTCAACCCCCACCGTATCATTCTTGCAAGTAATCAACTTTAAGTTAAAGCTAATATCAGAACCATAGCCAACTTCGCTTGAAATTGCTCATCTGTATTTACTAGAGAAACATAGTGAGATCATCTGATCAAACTACCACTAGCCAATACTCTAAGCCCACACAACCACTCATTTAGATTGAATTCTCCAGACCTTTTCAATTCTCTTCATCTACATCTATCTCCTCGACTTTCACTCACCGTTCATATTCTGTCTGTCTCTCAATCCCATACTATCTACCACAAGCTAACAAGTTTTATAAGCCACACAACCATACACTCATCCATCAATCCCTCAAAAATGGCGCTCTCCCCCCTCAGCATTTTCGCCATCACGGCCACAAGCTTTCTCCTCGGTGCTTTCATTTCTTACCTATTCTGCGATTGGAAAGAGGATCGACACCGGAACAACTACATTTGTCAACGGCATAACGAAAACAATGAAATCGTCTGCGATCTGAGACGGGCATTTTATTGGTCCCGCCATGCCATTTGGAAGCATGAATCTTGGTCCAGATCAGGAGAAGATAGCAAGAAATGGTTGATTACAGAGATTACGAAGTTGAATGTGCAGGCAACGATAATGGAAAGGACGACTATGCCGAGTGATTGCTGTAGAGATAGGATGACTCGTGTATTGTGGGAAGAGCTTGAGACACAGGGTAGTGAGTATAGAAAGAGGGTAGAGGCGGGAGAAGATCCGTTTCGAGTCATGAAAGATGTGGATCCTACACCTTGGAAACTATTTTGAGGCTTAGGCAATTACAAAGGGGGGCGGATACGAGAGAGCTAATGGTGGAGCTGTGCGTGAAGAGGATAAAGAAAGATCCTACTCTCATCGTTGTTAGTGTCCAAGAACGGGAGATTCGAAGCATGCATAGCCTGATCAACAGATTGCAGTCATATGATCAAAGTGCTAGTTTCGATTACTTTTCATGCTCTTTGAACTCATATATATGTAACAAGTATCGTTCCTCGAAGCAAATCTTCATTTCATCTCATCTTATCTCATCTTATCTCATCCCATCTCACCTCATTCCACTCCATTCCATTCCATCTCATTCACTATTTGAACGCTATAAATTACGTCAGAAGTTTGTAGATTTACTCTTTTGGAAGTTGAATATAAATACCCGAGTAAATAGTGGCGAAGGCAGCTACCACACCAATATAAAAAGCAATTCGGACATGTCTGTCCAATTGTCTATATATGCTTAGTTCATAAATCTGGTTATAGGAGAATCAAATATACCTCTGACCAAAAATCATCCTATGGATCCAGCCAAAAAGAAAACCAAAAGGAAGCCAAAAAACCCTCAAAGGGGGAAGGAAGAACCGGAGCAACGATCGGAGCAACGCGCGCAAGCCGCGGCGGAACGACGAAACAAGAAAGGTCACGAGCGTGCCAAGGCGCGGCGCTCTCTCGGTGACCGTCGGATTTATTGTCGCGAGGCCGAAGCCCGGAAAGACAGCACGCGGCGGAGAGGTGAGCGGGGAGACAGCCTGGGGCGGGGAGGCAGGCGGGGAGACCAGGGGGAAAACGGCCGGAGCCTCTTCATCAACTACTTCAAATTATGTTAGTTATTGCACATCTCTGAAATGCTTAGAACATTTGAAACATCGACATCATGCAGAACATTGAGTGAGTGTGAAATTTTGAATGTCCGCTTTTAGGTCGGACAATCCGTTTATCTTGAAAAAATTGCTTCACTTAAGTGATTGAGTTCGTTTGAAAAAACGAATTGACTTTCAAGATTGTATCTATCTGGAACGTTCAACCCCTTTGAGAGATTGGAGTCGTGTTAGACATTGACGTTGAAGTGAAGTTCAGAAATCGAATTCCTCTGAAAGATCGCGTCGCTTTGAAATACTGAGTCATCTTGAAACATTTGGACTGCCTTGAAAGATTGTGTTCATCTAGATTATTAACTCTATCCAAGAAATCTAAATTCTTTGTAGTATTGAGTCGACTTGAAGAGCTCACACCACCACTGAGGATGTTAAGGCATTTTCCCCCCTCGCGCATTGGACAACAAGGGGGGCAGATTATTGGAAAATATTGGTGAACATTGCTATCTAGTAAGAAAGGTTGAGTGTGACCCACCCTCCATACAAGACACAGTGTGTAAAAAATGAGATGAAGGCAAAATTTTGGCTCTATAATACAAGAAAATGGTCGGGGTGCTCGATACAAGCATTAATCCGAAAGTTTGTTGTACAGATAGAACATGTACCGGTCAGATAAGTTGATAGGATGTGCATGAACGAAAAAGGATTCTGTGTTATTGGTAGGAGTTTGGATGAGATACATTTTATATGGCAATGTGTCTTTGATGCTGCAGAGTCAGTAGGACCCTCGACCTCAGCATTGAATGATATATTAAAATGCATCTAAATCACGAATCAACTGCTAAGAAGACCCATGGCTTTGCAATGTGTGACATGCAGGTGGTGGGGTAAAAATCAAAGGCACCAAAGACACAAGGTAGAACAGAATTGCAATGATTCATATGTATGGATAAAAAAATGAACATGAAGACATTCGGATTATGATACGAGATGTACAAATGATAACGCAGCATACGATACTATTCAATGAGCATATAGCATCAGTGTAAAACGCAAAAATACATGAATACTGTAAACTCGCAGAAATGAATGAATGGGTGGGTATAAGTCACATACCAGGTGGTAAGGGACGAGCCCAAAGGCTTCCCAAAGTGAAGCGAGGAAACTGGGAGCGGGCGAAAGACATTTTCAACTGGTTTTATATTTGAGGTTGTTGATTGTTGAATGAATTTTAAACAATGAGGAGGGCGTGGTGTAAACAAATAAAAATGACATCTTCAACACACCCAAATCGTTCCTTCCATTCTTGCACAATTGATCCACCACTTCCTTATTCAATCTACTCCAAAAAACCCGAACACTAGGTTATTAAACTTATCCGGCTCCTCCCAATAACACCAATGACCGCCCCAATCGACTACTACACCTCGTGCCTTCCCTTCTCCAGTCTTTCCATCCATTTTCATTCCACCATTTATAAACTCCACAATCTTCAATACTCCCTCTGCAGGAAAACATCCACTCCTGCTACTGCCTACAACTAAAATTTCCGTCTCACTTCCGCTCTCCGATCCAAAACAAGCACGAATGCTATCTCTCCAATCCTTAGATGTATGATCCTCCATGAGTTTCCCCAACCATCTTCCATGTCCCTTGAGTGCCTCTCTCAAGAAAAACGCCTCATCATCATCCATTTCCTTCTGCGCCCTAAGTCCCTTCTCAGATTCAAGAGGTGCATATCGGTATCCCAAACAAGCAGCAATAGTTCCCCGATGTGCAATTTCCGGTGCCAACTCCAGAGTCTTTTGAAGAGAAGCAATCGCCCATGGATTATTCATACCGCGGTTGCAAAATCGGCTATCCCAACCGTCTAATGTAGAATTTTGGAGAGGGCTCTGATCCACAAAGACCATTTTCTTGAACAAGCTCGTTCCAAAAAGTTCAGCATAACTCCATAAAATAGCACATCCGAGACTACCACCAATAGCAAGGAACTTCTTGTCTTCTCGAGTACCCTTTTGGCTGGTAGCCGATGAATTGATAATATGCTGTGTGAGTTCATGCAAATCCATCGCGAGACGACTAACATGATATCCGTGTTCTGGTTTCTGGCTGTCTCCATGACCTCTCAGATCCGGTACAATAACACGGTATGTTTTGCGCAAGGCAGGTATATTCTTTTGCCAAACATCTTTTGAACCAGTAAAGCCATGCAACTGTGTGGTTTGTTAGCTAGATGAGCAATTCCTAGCAAAAGTTCGGGATTGAAAATCTTTTGATGATCAGAAGCCACTCACAAGAATCAAGCATTCCAGTCCTTCCCCATTCTGAGGATCTGTATCGCTATACACAATGGACACTCCATCGTTCGTTACAAATTGCGACGTCATTTTTTCACCCTTTCCCTTCTCAATCTCAATCTCAAATGAAGAAGCTTTATCTCTCCCAAAGCATCCAACAAACCTTCTATAAATCGTAACAGATTTGACAGAACACCAACACTTAGTTTTCTTCTCGTTGAATACCCGTCGTCGATTGTAAACGCCAAATTCGAGACGAGACTTGTCGAGATAACCCCACTATCTCGGTTACACATCGGGGATTTCCGCTCAATTCTTCACGTGGCAGTCTCTAAGTAAAAACGGACTCTTTAAAGGGGCTCCAATAATTCGGATCTCTCTTCAATGGTACATCAGATAAAGATAATCCTAATGAAATAAGGCTCAGATTTTCGATCGATGTTCTCAGGTTTTATAGTATTCAATTCGAAATGAATTCATAATTCAATTCAAGAAGTCCTTTCAAAAAGAGCTTGAACTCCGCCTGTTTTTTCGCTTACTTTAGAGTATGGAAGTGCATATGGAGCATTTTGGTCGTAATTATTTTTTTCCATCTTTTCAATTAAATATCAACCACAACACCCTGCAATTGAATTTTCTTGGGTGCTACCGATTCATATACAATCTTCCAAATGCATCGAATAGAGAAATCCTTTTCCCCTTCGGATAAGGGGATGGGGTCATGTGACCGATATGTCACATGATACGATCTTCTCTCTCTCTCGTTTGTTTTTCGAGTTATCTATTTTCTATAGAGATTGATAATAGTATTCATTCCTTCCTTTTGGAGTTTGACCCTTAATTGCTGAAGGGAGTTGATTTTGGGAAAAGGGCGGGTGGAGATTCAGTTGTGATCTTCCTCTTCTGCTTGTCCGATCACCACTACCAATTGCATTACCTTTTCTACAACTCAGAAATTGAAATCTCTATTCAGTGGGACGGATAGAGCATATCTCAATCCATAACCCTATCAAGGCATTGATGAATACCTCTTTCCTATCAAGAAATATCAAAAAGATCGAAGAAATGATTATAACTAGAAAATTCCGCATGCACTTCCACAGTAGAACCCTTTTCAGAGAAACATCACCGCAACTGAACACCACCATCTCACACACTAATCAGAACCATTAAACAACTACAAGTGACAATATACAATCTCTTATGCTGACATGAGAATTCGGCTCTCACTACTTCTAGATACGATGATAAATCATACTCTGTATAAAACCGCACAAGTGAGAAGCTTCGAAGAACCCACCAAGACTCTGTGGAAGAAGGGATTCAATTCCGGCCTCTCTTTCCTCGCCCTCGAAGCTGGGGTTGCGCTGGCCTGGGCTAGATCCAACCAAATCCGTCAATTTTCTCAATTGACTTTCCAGGCGGTTCCCCCAACCACAGAAACACAAAACACAAAACACAACCCCATTCTAATATCGTAAAGCAACAATTTCACAAAGGACTCCACTTCTACTTCTACATCCATATCCATATCCATATCCATATCAACAATCATTAAAATTTGTCTATAGAGAAACTATCCAAGATTCTTTTGAAAGTGCTTATTCTTTTCGACTATCTCGCTTACCCCTATAGAGAATGTGATAGATGGGAAAGGAGGGAGGTTGATAGAGAACTTTTTATACCTGCCTACCTACCTACCTAAATGATATGAATCGCATTGGATTGGATTAAATGTATGGGATGAAACAAACTGGCGAGCCATAGAACTGTACGAGATTCGAGAATCGAGATCCGAGATACGAAAACTGCAATGCGATGCCATACGATCAGCCAAAGTTCTCATGAAATACCAAGTCCCAATAAATCATAATCCCAAGATATCACTGCACGAAATCAAAGTCAGACAATAAAATTGTTTGTAAGAGGTGTGTATATTTATTTTAACTAAAGGGATGTAAAGCCATTCATTGCAGACTCTAATCTAATCCCAAGTATTTATCCGTTCCATTCCATCCCATCCCATCCTTTTCTTATACCCATGATGCATTATGCATGTAAATTGTCCTTCCCATTTTTTAGATTCCATGATTAACTCCTTCACAAATTTCCTTGCTAGCTATCTATGATGCTCGCGCGCGTATGCCGAATGCCCATACCAATTCCAATATTCCTATTTCTTCATAATCCTATATCTACAACGATAATGTAATGCTCGCAATGCTTGGAGATTCAAATATCTATAACAAACTCAAATGATGCTTAGTATGTGCTCTTTTCGAGCGCTGCTTCTTTTTCTTTCATCTCAGTTTAGACACCAGGTGTAAATGGTGTAACCAGATCGATGCTTCTAGGTCGATGTCCGTAACCACCTGGACCACTTCGAGGTGGTAAGGGACGATCCATACCCATACCCCCGGTGCTAGTAAATGTTTGGCCAGCCCCGAAAGCATATAAATCTTCTCGGCTTCGACGAGCGGAATAGCTGCTGCCGGTGTTCGAGTATGAGTTTCCAGGTGTAGCGAGGGGTGTAGGTGTTGTGGTTTTGGTTGTGAATGGCATATAGTTCCAGACTTGAGAAGATGTCCTCGAGAGTGTAGTCGTGGGTGGAGATTCTGGTTCGTGGGATTGATGTGTTCGGGGTAGCGCCGTAGCTAACTCTCTCAAGCTTTCCAAGGCACTCGATGAATGTGTATCGGCCTGGGACGAAGTATAGAAGTGCGATGCTGGGAGGGATGAGGAGGGTACGTGGTATGCGACGGAGAAATCGGTTGGATATGGTGATGAGTTGAAGTATGATCGAGGTCTAGATTGTGTAGGGGAGAGTCGTGGTACAATATCTCGAGGTTCTTCCGGGGAGTATAAAGTTGCACTTGACAAGAATGGGGTCAATGGTGGAGAGTTTGGTGCAGTTGCATATGGGTTCGATCGAGAAGTATATGTTGGCGCTTGATCATGAACACGACATCTATTAATCTTGTTAGTGACTCATTCTGTGTAAAATGTGGACATGGGATGATGCTCACTGTTCAGAGCAATAAAGAAAGGTATTGTTGGGTGGTGTAAATTGCTTTTCGCAAGTCATACTGTAATAATTCGTCAGTCTCGGTTCAGCCACCATTATGCACCCCGCCTTTTCCTAATCCTAGGCGTCGTCATCATCTGACAATCGAGTTGAACTTACCAGAACTGTGGAAAGCTCTCCCCATTATCTTTCTCCACGTATTGACTTTCTCTCTCCCTACTTCTGGCAGCCTTGGTAATAACTTGCGGTGTGGTCCTTCTGTGTAGAGTGGTAGGTCGACTAGTTCTCTTTTCCGCCACTACCGCGAATTCCTTTCCTGACTTTCTGCGTACGTGGTTGGTCTTCTTCTCAGTGTTTTCTCGGAGCTCGTTCTTGGAGATAGAGCAAGTGAAGGAGCAGTGTGTGTTCGGGAAGCGGATGGTCTTGTTGAGTGTGCCATTTTGGCAGTTGGGAAGATGTATTCTTCCTTTTGGATATATCGAGACAATCCTTGAGATTTTACAGGATATCAGAGAAGGAAGTGGTAAAAGATGATGGGTGTAAATTGTTGGTCGTATGTGAACGTGAAATATATCTTGGTATCTTATATGTCGTAGGTAAGTTTTTAGGATGGATTCTTCCCTGGTTGACTTCGGTCTTGTGAATGTTTCTCGTGATGGTGAATTAGAACGGTCCAGGTGAGTAAGATCAAATGGATAAGATCAATGATGATGTGATGAAATGATCAGAGACAAAACAAAATCAAATCAAATCAAGGATTGGATTTCTTTTTATTTAATCTCGATTGGCGATTAAAAAGATTCTTGAGATGTGACTCTATGAATGATCTTTTTATTGTAATAGTGGGTTGGACTAGGTAGATAGATACTAGACTCTAGGTAAATACTAGGTAGATAGCACTCCGTACTAGTGTGTATCTTGAATCCGTGCTGATAAGAGATTGATATTTCTACCGATATGACTCCCGTAGGAAATTAATTGGCGAAGTCGGAAGAGTGGGATGGAAGGGGTGGAAGGGATGGAAGGGAGCGAACACAGGAAAGTTCGATCCAATAATAATATGTATGGGCTGATGTGATTTGGTATGTTGGGCAGCATGAATTGACCAATATCTTAACAAGGTGTTTGTTGTGCGGGATAATTCTGGCGGGGGAAACGGGGTTTGATGTATTCCGACAATAAAGTTAAATGTTGGTTCGGGATCCGAATATACGATAGCGAAACGTAAAGCGGAACATAAAGCGAAGGGACTTTGTGAAATCGAGGACGGAGAGGGGGGTATTGGGTTATGGTATATAAGAATTCGAGGGAAAATCTAATAACTGAGGATTATCGTGGAAAAGATATTGCGTGCTTCCTTCTCATTGTATCTTTGGCTGGCACGGAGTATCCTCCCCTCCCTCGTAAACGCTGACCACCCAATAGGATTGTTGGTTTGACTAGTTCGAATGGCGTTCTTGAGACCCTTGAAAGGATTATATTGGCTGGTCTGTTGGGAAAAAGAGGGAAGATCTTGTGGATTAACTGAAGCGGGAAGTATTATTTGATGGTGGATGATCTATTTGCGGAGTGATTGTACGAATCTAGTAGTAACCTGGAAGTCTTGGATGATCTTTGAGATCTCTTTGTTGGACCTTGGGAACTGGTCTCGGTAGTCAAGGAAAAAGAAAAAAGGAGAAGTGTCAAGACTATTGAATGAGGAGAAAAGGAAGAACCGGAAGACGAAATTATATTATTAGTCTCTTGTCTCTTCGTGAGCAGGTAGGTAGTTAAGGTTACACGGAAACTTTTGCATTAGGAGATATTCTTTATCATTGTCTAACAATAGTGCGGGATGCTATGTACAGTGTGGTCTAGGTTACAATATGATATGGTGCCGGCAAAGTATGATATCTGTTGAGATGGCATCGATGGCATGGTCTCGCAATCGGTGATGACTTGATCTATCGAACTGGATCCTACAGTAACTGTGTTGGCTTGCTTGATGCTTGATGCTTTGTACTGCTCTAACTTTCCATGCCCTTGGTATCTCCATCCACAATACGTACGCACAAACGTTTTGTCTTGAATCCTACTACCTTTTAGAGTTTGGTAAGGGTACGATGCCCTTCTTGACTCCGTAGACAAGTCTGGCTCTTCTTGACCGCTCAAGTGCAATGGAAGGCGTGGACCGTGGTTACTCTAGCCTGCCCTTCCGAAAGAGCCGCTTAAGGTTGTCAACGTAGAACTGTGGGATTCCGTGATGGCTGTGTTTGAGAATATGTATGATATGTACAGTGGATGTAGGTGGATGTGGTAACTTTTCATGCGAATTGTCTTTTTCAACATTGGAATGATACCATGCAGCTGTTGAATGGTGTGGTATTAGAAATTAGACAATGGGTATTGTGTATCAAGTACCTCGGTCTCTAGATTAGTCTTCCCTCCTATTAAATATATTTATTATATTGCATGACATTATTATATCAACTCTTCCCCGAATTGCATCATCAGGGCTCTCTTTTCTTTTCTTTATTTCTGTAGCACTCTTATTAACTTTCAAAGCCTCAATTCATCCCACAAGATCAATCAATCACCTTGGCATCATCGGGGTCGTCACTAGCTAGCGAAGGTATTCATTTTATCAGTTCTGGCCCTTTTTGGTTCTTTGGCCCTTTGGCCCTTTTGTAAATCATTACAACACATCACAGCGGAGCTATAATAAGAATAATAGTATTCGTATACCAAAATGCACATGCTAAATGCCTGCGTCGCCTTTTTCACAATTGAATTTTCGCTTTTCTATTTGTGAGTAATTTTTTTTCACTGTTCCATAAATGTGTCCGTTCACTGAGATCTGACTGGATAATCTTGTAGATTTGGAGTCAGATTCTAGAATATCTCGTACCCGCTTTGTGATCCATCAAGACAGTGACCCCACTTGATGGAACTCTCGGATTTCCTAAATTGAGATGGCGGATTATCCCAAAGTCCAAGAGTCCAAGACTTCAAGGAGAGATAATCAATCGGTCCACTCAAAATGAAGGGACGGGGGTGGTTCCCCACTCCCTCAAGTCCCTTCGCAACACCACGACGAGTCTTTGGTTGCTTTCAATCAGTCGGCCTCGACCGTTTGAACCCTTCGAAACCCTTCCTACCCAATCCTTTCTCGATTGTTTGATACCAATAGAGTCAAAGAATCTATTCCCTCAAAGACTTTTTCGTAACTGGAAGCGTGTCATACGCGCAGGTTTCGACGATGTACGATGTCCCAAGTGTAGATGTGAATCAAATGGTGATGTAAACAGGAAATCTAAACGACCTCTCAAAGCTCGTGAACCGAGACACCCTGAGAGTTCCATTGTTTACCGCCACTGCATATGCAACACTGTCTCGATTGCATTTGAGACCATACCATGACCATACCATGATACCATCATCTTGTCTCATCCATCTCCACTACCATCCTTTTAGCTTTTGACATGCCTCTTCCGGACACTTTATCCAAAAATTGGTACTAGATGTGATTCCACCCCCCTTCCGCCCAAGGTTCCCTCAATCTGTTCCACCCACAGTCATTCATGAATCAGACCAAGCAAAAGTCAAAGGTTAAACAACATGCAGGCACAACGATATGGCAAGCTGCAGCCACTTCCGTCATCCTTGGCTGGTGCTTACAGAACCGTTGTACGCGGTGTTGTCGAACCATTTTCTTCATTTTGGTCCTTCCATTTTGGTACCAAGATTTTCATAGCCGACTCAGGACATCAAAACATTTACATCCATCGTAGACCCCCATCAAAAAGTATCCGAAATCTGTTATCGGACGTCAAGAATCTTGCAACCTGCATTTACATTTGCATGTGCAGCTACGACCTTTTTTCCTTTTTTTCTTCCATGGAAGGTTTCTCTTTTCTTCACCAAAACCCTCCATTGGAGCCGTACCTATCTCCGCATCAAATTTGTATCCATAAATCTCTCACGTTCCACGATATGGTCAAGGCATCGACGGTTACTTTCTCCATCTCCAACATTTCACGTCTCCATAATCTACAGATTGAAGCCTCGGCATAATTCTAACTCTATTTCTCACTCTAGGCACAATTACTTATCATTTAGTCAAGAGATATACGTGGGGGAGTCATTCAAGAACTCACTCATGCCTTCTTAAACTAAATGACCACAATTTATCCGGATAATGCATATTCAATTCTCATCCATCCTTTTTTGTCTGACCGATTAGAAAAAAGCCTCTCGCAGCAAATCAAAATATTGCTGGATGATCGCACATGTGTTTGGAGTGTGTTGCTCCAATTGGTTGTTGGATCCTTGTTTCAGAACTTTCATCGTGTCACTAATTGATCAAAGTTTCTGCTTTCAAATGAATTTATGGAGTTTAATATTTAGAATGGAGATTGTTCTGCCGATACTACACGATTCTGGACATTCTAGATCTTCATATCCTGACTAGGTCTTCACGCAAAATCTCTTTGGGAAAAGAATTTCGTCTTACGAGTTACAACTTACGACAGACTTCCGTGGGGCCGAGAGTGTGGATGGTGATAACCTTGTATTCATTTCATTAACTCGATCTTCGTTTTTCTACAACGAATGCTAAACTTCAATTCTCTTTCGATCTTCAAAGTTGAAGCTCTCGTTGTGCAACATGGTCCCTGGTGAAACATACTACTCACCTGCATAAATGCACTCATCTTCGGAATCAAAGTATGCACTCAAAATTGTGGTTCAACTATCTGGGGCTGGCGTGAACAAGTGATCCCGCCATGATCTTCGTAATACATGCGTGTACAATACGGTAGTTTTCATATTGTGGAGAAAGCGGGAAGAAAAAAAGGAAAGGAAGAAAATCTGATGTACACAACGTTAAGGGTTGGCTGTTTTGGCTTCTCGGCTTACTTCGAATTGTGGGGGTTGGATTGATCAATCCATAGGGCTGGATGAACAACTCAGCTCGTGAGTTTGTCTTACGTTACACAGATGGCTGAGAAGTTTATTTGCCATTTGCTTGGCCAGTATTGAGCTTCAGTTGCCAAGTGAAAGAATAGATGAAGAAGATAAGGGTTATCCCGATGTAGGTGGATGGTGGTTTGCTTAACGGGTGGAATTATTCTCAAATATGATGAGTTCTATTTGATAAGTGACGATGAGTTGGTAGTTCGGGTACGCGGAGATATTGTTCACAACGTATCCGGATGAGTTGGTACCCCATACAACGATGCACGACATTTGGCAATGGCTCGTACAAGGATGGTGCAATTTCGAATTTCAAATGAAAGGATAGTCTTCCTGCAGCTCTAGTCAGCCTGCTATTACAATTGACTTTTGTCATATTACTCAACAAGCTCCACGCCCTTCGAAATATGAAATTTGAGAGGTTTGACTAGTACTTACTTCTCGTACTGTTCAACTATTATTCACAATGACGGAGCTTTCAGATCCCGCCACCTCAGATTCGTTTGAGATCCACCATGATTCAACAGCCAAACGCAATATCACATGCATTACGAAAGTACGGAGTACAGAATTCTCCGAATGGTGAAAATTCTATATATACCGGTAATCCACATTGAGACCCTCGATGATTCATCTGAACAATGACGAAACCAAGACAGTCCAGACCTCAAGATACTCCACAAGGCTGAGTTCCATTCGTCAGTCTGTCGAGATGCCAGGTTTCGATAGTATGTGGAAATTGGAGGTTGCAATTATCACGTGTTTTAGTATGTAGACTAGACAGCTGGCAATTGTGGCAGTGCAGGTCCGAGATATATTAGAGGGGATATCCTGGGAGAAAAGGAAAAACACGAGGGATTATCGTGCACGGGAATTGGGAATACGATGACTAAGTATGGTGTATGATGATGAGACAATGATCTGGGTGTTGATGTTTGATGGACGGATAGGCACGGTGTTTAGATGGCCAGAACGTTTGTAGGTTTTTAAGTGGGCAGGTTAATAGTCTGTATCGAATTTGTTTCTTGTCGGAAAGCTGGGATGCTTGAAGTTGGAGTTACCTTAATCTCGTAGACAATATCGGGAGTTGGCTGTAGACTTTCTAGATGACGGGCTGTGGAAAGAACTCAGAATGTGAGAAATTGGAGATAGGTAGATGAAGATGGATTCGAGTGATTCATTGAGCATTTCAAATCGATACAATGATATGTCTTTTTCTATCTACTTGGGAAATATACCCAGCAGTTGTGTCTACCGAACTTGCACTCCGATTCTTCTCGTCGTGTTTTTAGCATATCATATTCATAGATTCTCAGTACTAGAAACAACTCTCGTCAAATGTTTTTCGTGGTCTATTGTACAATTATCTAATTGTTGTTTGATTGTTGACGCATATCGTCTGATACCATTCTAATCTATCTATGCATTCATTCGATGTACCGACATTTGGCTTGAACTTAGAGTTGTGATATTCGCTTCTGATGTACGGGAAATATGGAAATATGGAACTTTGGTATTGGAATGTTGTTTGCTAGTTGGGTATTGTGCTATTGTCTTATATCACCTGGATGTATCTATTTATCTATGTATTCGATATACCTATATTGGAATTGAAATTGGATGTGGAATCGTGGGATTCGCTTCGAAGGGGAATTTACTGGGAGTATATGTGTACCATCACTTCATCATTCTCTTCTGAATGATTGCTTGGGATGTTTTGTTTTGATCTGAATTGTATCTGGGACGTTTGAAGTTTGGAGTTTGTTATGTGGTGTGTATGTAGGTAGATAGATAGATTGAAGCGGTGAATTTTGACTGGGAGAATGGGGAGGGAGTTGTGAGTGTGAGTGTGAGGAGTATGTTCTTGTCGACGTGAGGATGTTGTATGTTGATGGATTATTTCAGGGTCACACTTCAACTGTCCTTTTCAAGGTTGATGGTTAGAGAGTACTGCGCTTTGGGAGAGGAAACGTGGGTTATGTTTTTAGTGAGTGTATGGGTGTGAGCATGAGTGTGGGTATAGATGGAGAGATACATTCTGAACATATGTGAATGCTTCCAGCTTGATATCTGAACCCGAACATAGGGACTGTAATCCGATTCATTCGATTTATCAAATCTTCATATCTCTTGGAATCTTTGCGTACTTTTATTCCCTCTCATGCTTGAATTTTTTATTGTCTTTCACGGTTATAAATCTGATCTCTCATTTCTGATTTCAAATTTCTTATTTCGGCGTAGTGTTGTTACCTTCATATTACTGAGTGGCGTGAGGGGGAGTTTGAATTGTTTGTATATATATGTATACATTTGAGAGGGGTTTATTCTGTGGTGGTGATGAGGAGTGTGAGAGTGAGGATCATGAGAATTGTAAGTTTGGATTTGGGGTTCATGCTTTTTCTTTCTTTCTTTCTTTGTTTCTTGGTAGATGATGAGAATAGAGATGGAGATTGTTTTCTTGTGTTTTGATTGAATTTGATTTGATTTGATCTGATTTGATTTGATTGTTGTGTGGATCGTAGGGGCGGGGAGAAATAAGGGGGTGAGAAATGGGGGGCGACGGATGGGGATGGGTAGTTGTGGATCGGGGGATGGGGAATAGGGGTGGGAAATAGGGGAGTGGGAAATAGGGGACAGATGTGAGTAGTTGATGGATAATATAATGAATGAATGGATGAATGAGTGGATGATTGGGTTAGGCTGGGTATATTGTGAGTCATGAGGTATGTATGAGAAGATTATTAGGCATTGGTTGTGTTTATAAGGGGTAGGAGAGGTAGAAGAAGTTGTAATGATGTGGTGATATGTTGTTTGATGAGGAGTGTATGAGAGTGCGATATCATGTTATGGTATGAAGGAAAGAGGAAATTATTAAAAGTCTGGTTCATGCAGTGCTAGAGCAGGGGGAGCTAGACCTAATGGAAGTGAAAACGATTTGTATTACACTATATAAACAGAACATCTCTATTCCTACATAGGATATTCTCACTCTTATTATCTACATACTCGGAATGTTGTTTTCTCCTTATTGTATTCCAGCTTATTCACGGTTTAATGGTTCGTGCTAAAGACCTATAAGAATTCTTTCAATTAAGTAATGTCCAAGTGACATTAACATTATTGCTGCCAGAGATTTCATTAACACTTGCTCACTGCGCACAGTCACAACTTCGAAATTATCACCTCAACGACACCCCGACTTCGAGAACAAAAGGCTATAATGTGGCAGAAGAAATAGTCGCTACCATGGCCTGATATGATCCCATACTCACATTTTCTTTTCTTTTCTTTTCTTTTCTTTTCTTTTCAGGAATAGATGATGTATAAGAACTGTTGATATAGGTGTAGAGAAAAGAAAAAGATAAGTTTGAGCTCAGAATGGCCTTTCCTATTTGCTATAGGAATTGACGTGCAGAAAAATGCGGGGCAGCAAGCAGGGAAGCTGAGAACAAGTGTTTACCGGGAATTGGGGTGGGGCAAGGTTAGAGGATCGAATTCGTTTAAAGAAGGGGGGAGGGGGGCGGAAATGTGAGGTCGGGTACCTGCATTTCAAGTTTCACATTTGGATCGCTACTGAGCATGTTATTGTAAAGAAGGTAAGAAGAGGAAGTCTATGGAGGCTCTTGTTAAAAGTATCAAAATTATGAATGTAGAGTCCTTGAAAAAAGAGCTCATCATGATTCATCGATTTCATCATCATTACCTTGTCGAGAGTCTGGCGATTTGGACAATTATCCTGTAAATTGTGTATTCGCTGCTCAATTTGTGATGCCAGCTACTTAAAAATCCGCATTAATAAGAGTCATAATCTGTATATCGCTCTGGGTTTCGGCTCTTTCCCCGGCGCCCAAACGGCTTTGGACTGGGGCTTCTCGCTCTTGCTCACAGATGCCGTCCCCTTCTCGGTCGTATATCGGCCTGGCACTTTGGACACGCCTTCATACGACACCCCCGCGTAGGGCACTGCAACAAGTACGTCCAGCTTTCATAACACTGCGGACAGTCATCTCGGCCTTCAATCTTCGGCCACCAGCCGCCATGTCGACAGTCAAGAGGTTTGTGCAGAGTTTCCCTCGCTGCAAAGAAGTCATCATCGTGGTCAGAGAGGTTGTAGTGGTTGTAGTGGTTGTTCCATTTGTTTCTGTCATCGATGTCAATTTTCCATTGTCTGTCTCGCTCCTCCCGGAGTTTCTGTGCTGCTGCTCGCTGCTCCGCTTCTTCTTTTCTCGACTTCTCTAATGCAGCTTGTCGTTCTGCTTTGCATTTCATCATCTCTTCATGATATATCTTCCACTCCTCTTCACGTTTTCTCAATTCTTCTGCTGCTTCCCTGTCTCGCTCTTCTTGCTCTTTTTTCCGAGCCTCTGCCATTCTTTCTCTGTATACCCTCGCTCTTTCATCTGCTTGCCTCCGTTCTTTAGCCTTGATTCTATCTTCAATCATTCTTAATTTCCCATCATCAACCTGATCGGCAAGTTCCACTTCTCTTTGCGCCGTTTGCAGCAAATCTTTCTCCTTATCCAGTTCGACACTCTTCACTCCAATCCGTCGCTCCTTCAGATCCATCTCAATCTTCCGTTCCTGTCTGCTCCTGTCCTTCCGCTCTTTTTCATCCTCACTAACCACTGCCCTCTTGACGAGTGGAGATAACAGCCACGCGCCCCAACCATTTCTCCATGCCTCTTCCATGTCTTCGACAGCGTCATTTTTCTTCAAAAGCTCAATTGACTGCTTTAAACTCTGAATATCCTTCTGCAACCGCGAGATCACAGACTCAAATGCATTCTTCTTGGTCGACCATCGCGCCGCACGTTCCTGCTTCGCCTTTTGCAGTGCAGCAATTTGCGCCGCATCAGTGAGTTTGGACGACGCAGAAGCGGATGCTTGAGGTTCCGGTTTGTATTGAGGCGTTGAACTGCTCTGGGGCATTGTTCCACTCTTTTTGATGGAGGGGTACTTGATGTCGTAGATGCGGCGTTTGCTCTCATCTTTCAACGTCTCGTAGGCTTTTGCAAGCTACAACTTTTGGATTCAGCACAGTATGATAGACGTAGTCAAGAAACTTGTAAGATCTTCTGAGAATAACCTAGGTATAGAATGAACATCAACATACCAATTGAAACGCCTCCGTGGCATCAGCTTTATCATTTCGATCAGGATGCAGTTTAAGCGCAAGCCTTCTATAGGATCGAATTATTAGATCTTGAGTAGCCGTTTGCTCAATCTCAAGGACGGCGTAATAATCTTCTGTGATCTGTACGGGCGCCATTGTATCTTTGGATTTTTTGGAGTCTCTATCCTGTATGCTTATCTTGTTGCCGTGTCTAGTCGTTTGTTATTCAAACAGATACAAATCCATCCAGTGGCGTTTCCCGCAATTTTGATGGGAGGTGTAATCTGAGTGGACTATATGTGAAAGGTTGTATATAAATTGAATCGACGACGGAAAGAAAAGTCGAGTATTCTTGTAGTTACGTTGACGCTGTTGTTTTTTATTGGGGATATCTTGATTCAGTTTCGTGCTTCGTAAATTTTCTCCTTGATATTCGCTGGCGCTTCAGCGCACATTTCTACAGGTCGCATCTATCTGCCACGCCACAGTGCCTTATTGGATGATTTTCAAGCCTTGTTTGTTTTGATCACATATTTCCACGATAAGATTGGCTGAGATATTGTGCGAATGACTTCATTTGAAGCAAACAAAAAGCATCAAAAATCCAAGAAGAACCAGAAAATGAAACTGACAAACGCAGATGAAAAACAAACAAAAAGGGGAAAGATTTCATAAACGAGAAGCCAAGAGTTGTCTGTTTAGTCTAAGCTTACACTCAGCTACAGAGATATGGTCAATTTTTCTATGTTGAAGTAGATCTCATCTCTGTATTAAAGATCGAGAATCTAAAAACTATGAATCACGCCATTCAAGCTCGCTTATTAGTCTAGTCCCATCTCACTGATTTCAGGGGGACGATTGGAGATGTATTGCGTATCTTGATTAGAAATAACGAGATAGAGATTGTGATGTATATTTCTATGCTGGACTACTTGTTAACATGATTCAGAGAAAGGAAAAGGGAAAGTAAACTTGGAGATGTGTTGCGTCTCTGGATTGATATAAGATGAGTATGTTTATTTGGCTTTGGCTTTGGCTTCACACTTGGCTGAGTATCTAGGATACATACACAGCTATATGTCGAAATGAAAAGATTAATGAACTAGAAATTTTGAGGTTATCGTTGATCCTTTTGGAAGTACACAGGCTGGAAGCTTATAATCTTTGGAAGCTAAGAAGTAAATTTTGTATTTCGATTGCGAGATCAATGAGTTACAGGGGCCGCCAATTCAATGGCAATTGCCTGTAACGACGTTATGAAGCGAGGGCTTTCGACATTTAGTTGGATCCTCGATGGCTGATTTATACTCTATTGGGAGCACTGGCTGAGTATATACGGATGATACCAAGTCTACTATGTAGTATTGTCTACCTACATTGAGAGTTATTGGCAGAACATCCGAGATGATCTTCTCGTATATACAAGCTAAACTTGTACTTCTTCTCAGTTTTGTCCTATGCAGCCAAGTGAGTTGAAATATATTGACACAAGAACAGTGAAGATTGAAAAAAAAGAAGTACCAATTGAATGGAGACATTGATGTGTTAGAATCAGCGCAAATTTGATAGGAATATGTATTTGTTATATCTACAACACTATCAGCCTGATCTCAAAGCAGTATAACGCCAATTACGTCTCACCAAACCCAAGTTTTATCCCAAAACTCCTAAGAACCTAAACACCATCCATCGCCAAAAGATTCCCCATCTGTTCATAAATGGCGTAATTCATAATGAATCAGCTAACCAAGCAGCAAACATACTTCCCAAGCATCCCAATCTAATGACCCAGCCCATTGCTTCTGTTCCAACAACCCCAGCCTCTCCTAATCCCCAAAATACTAGACTCCCCTGTAATGCAGCGATAATTTGCGGCAAAGCAATTGCCATGTTGTAGAGACCAATTATTGTGCCTGCTTGTAATGGCTCTCGGTTTCTATTTCTTTTGTGGGATGAGGGGGCAGGTTGAGCTATTTGGGAGAGGGAGATGGAAGAAGTAGAGGTAGTGGAGCGGGAGCGATGTTGAGATTGCGAGATTTCAGTAGAGATGAGGGCGAGAGGAATCCAAGTAGTGGTGGCCCAGGAGATACCGAGGAAGATAACAAGAATTGAGGTAGAGAAAAAGGCCGATGTTAATAAGGTAGACATAGTGAGAAGGGTGGTGAGGATATGAGAGAATGTCCAGACGCGGGGAAGGGTGAGAGATTTGATGTGGAGGCGGGAGATGAAAGTGGGTTTCTGATCTTCAGAGCTAATGGAGGAGGGTGAGATGAACAAAGGAAGTGTCAGGTTTGAGGTGAGCGCAACGAGGGCGAAGAGAATCATGATGAATGTTGCATGGCGGATGGAATGAGATGATGTGGTAGGAAATGCGAGAGTAGGAGTTTCCTTTTTGGATATTGCGGTGTATTCTGCTTCATCTGAATCCAGTCAGTTTCGCTATTATCAGCATTAGAAATCCCAAGTAACGTACAAAGACCGCCTAGGTATCTAGATCATTTCATTAGTATCATATTCAAAAGCCACGGGATGATAATAAAGAGAACTTACGAGGTTATATAAAATAAAAACGGAAACCAGCCTATCCAAGCAAAAAACTGAACCATACAAATCTTCCTGATCTCTCTCGGACACGTCTTTATGCTGCTAAGAATTTGACGTAAATTCCCGACGAAACTCTGCTTTTTTGAACTCGCATCTAAATCAACAAAACGTTTTTCTTTCGCTGTAAAGCAGGTCACCGCAACAGTTGAACCCAATGCTACGGAAGCAATCAGACAAAGCCCTTTTAATTGAGTGTCGCCAAGCCATGGTAAATATTTCGGCAGAGAAACATAGCCGGCAGTGTAACCTAAAATTGAACCAATTCCAGCAGCAGAACTAGCATAGCCGCAAGCTCTTACTTGTTGTTTCGGCGAAACACAGTCTACGATAATTGCCCTTAGTCCTCCTTGCACGGGCTGAATTGCAATGTTCAAAGCCCATATCCAAACAGCTGCCGTAAGCCCTTTACATATCATTGCGCCGCGCCCAACCGGCGAGCTTCCAAATAAGGCAAAGAGGTATGATATCAGGTCGGTTGTCCAAGGTAGTGCTAGGATACAGACAATGGTTGCGATAGTACCTATGATAATGAATGGTCGACGACGGCCGAGATAGTGTTCAGAGCGATCGGATAGAATGCCGATGTATGGTTGAACGATTGCACCAGAGAGGGGACCAGCGAGCCAAACTAGGGATATGAGGTAGCTGGGGACCGAGAGCGAGACCAAGTAAGGCTTGGAGAATTAGTTATGCACATGATTAAGGATAAGAAATATTAAATAATTGCTTACAGAGCCTTGAGACATAATGGCCGTCCATATCACTTGAAGTCTACCAAATGTCAACAATGAATGGCAGAACCGATACCAAGGCGGGGTATTTACCCGCCAGTGCTGATGGCCAGACACATTAAGTATAAATTCCCAACTTCCATCGCATCTTTCTCCTCGGCATCTGATTCTCGAAGCAGAGAAGTCTCGCTGTCTTCGAGGAATTCTTCGTCCATATAATCCAATTCATCCAATCTATCTTCAGCTGGCAGCCGCTCTTCCTCTACGCCCACTCGTAACATCTTGTCGCGAAACACACTGTACACTGAGCAGGGAAACCAAAAAAGAGACAAATGTTAACAATATAGACAGCCAATGCCGTACTATGTTTCTGTAACACAACACAAAATCACATTTGAGGATTCAACACCAAAAAACCAACAAAACTAACCAACAAAATTTAAAATACAATACAAACAGAAGATGGGATGAGGAGGGATTGTCGTGCTGACGTTTGCCTCAGTTGTACATGCAATCGCGCACGCATGCCCACTTGTATGTACGATTGGTGCGTACCAAATCCCATTTGCGAACTTGTGGTTCGCTGAAAGCTGTTGTGCTCCATGATGTGGAGATTTCGAAGGGCAACCTATTTGTTTAAAGGAGCAATCAACGCTCCTGCCACCTTCCTATTTGAATATGGTCTATGTGCCCATTTGCAACATTATTGTTAGGTCGCCCTTGTAGATGAAGATATACATTTCTGGATACAAAGACATCAACGGCAGACTGATTTTGTGAGGCTTTCGATCAAGCTTCATTGGATAGTCCCAGATATATACTAGCCACCGTGGAGCGTTGACGATTTATTGTCATATGTTAGGGGAAAACTTTGGTGGTCCAGCAGCATGATCACCGCGGCAGCGCACAGAGAAACCTCTCGAGTCGACGGAAACAATCACGACTCAAACAATCGAATTGTTCTCATTCATGATTCAAGACTCATACACTATACACTGTTATCCATCCACAAGCTGAATACTTTCGTCTCATTGCATCGAAGCATCTCTTCCGACAACAACCATCTTACCCGATCTCAGTGTTGGATTTTGACATCACGTGACGCTGCCACAACAAACCTCGGTTCAATTGAAAAGCTCCTTCATCTTCCGCCTCCGATATTGACCGACCCCCGCATTGTCACAAGCTTATCTGAGTAACTTGACCCATTATCTCAAAATAAAATATCCTGTCTTGAAGGAAGCTCGGTACTACAAGTTAATGGAAAGTAAGACGTCAGATGCTCGAAAACAATGCTTGGAATTTGAAGCCAAGAAGAACAGAGCATTTGCGACAATGGAAGAAACATAACTGCATTCATCCTTTGTCGCAATCGCATTTGGCATGTTGAACAATGAAATCAAGTTCTCAACCATATCAAATTGTCTCAATGGTAAGTCCAACGATAGTAAGTTTGCAAGTTTGCATCCAGTTTTTATATCAAGATTCGGCATTTACCCCTCCATACCAAAACCAAGCTCTACGCTCCGCCGCTTCGGGCGTCCCTGGCTGCACATCCCTAAAATCTATATCCGTTGAACCGAGCTACCAACCGGCACGTCGAAGACCAAGCACAAGCTTAGCATTTCTTAGCTACCATCCGAGTCCGGGGCTCCACAACTTTCAATTGGAAGCCCATTCCCATTCCCTATTCATGCAAGGCTGTGAAGTGAAAGTACAACAGGACTTGGCTGGAGGGAAGAGATGGGCCGCGGGACAAGATAGCTCGGCCCAGCTGGACGAACGCAAACAGAAAGGATGTAGACTCATATATACACTTGAGCGACCAGCATTGAGGGTCTATTTACTTTTATTATTCTCTTGTTTCCCTGAAGTAAAAGCAAGCTGCTTTTTGACTCATTTTTATCTTATTACTTCTAAATATCTCTTGAATTCGCAAACGACAATATAGAAGTGCACCTTCACATGTTAAAGAAATAGAGAATCCATTACACATAGCTGTTGTATCAATCTATCTACCAATATTGAAATACATTGGCCTCAATCAGAGCTTTTACATTTGATCAAACTTCTACAGTTACACAAATCCTCTGCGAAGAGGTAATATATACCCAATATGTCAGCGAAAAGCGTCAAAGGCACAGATGGCAAGAAACCAGCCTCAGCGGCCACAAATCTTATTGGTGAGTCACTTCCTCTATATCTATAATCTTGATTTGAAATTGTTTAACAACATATAGCTGGTGGAGCCGCAGGAATGATGGAGGCCCTTGTATGCCATCCTCTAGGTGAGTTCTAACTACCCTATTTATTTCACACTCATTTAAAGTACCCCTCGAATTCTGACCGATATTCGACCAATAGATACAATAAAAGTCCGTATGCAACTTTCTCGCCGGGCACGCGCCCCTGGTGCTCCGAAACGAGGGTTCATCACCACGGGTGCCGAGATTATGAAGCGCGAAACCCCCCTCGGTCTCTACAAAGGACTCGGTGCCGTCATAACTGGTATTGTGCCGAAGATGGCTATAAGATTCACAAGTTTCGAGGCGTACAAGAAGTGGCTAGCGGATCAGGAGACCGGGGTTGTTAGTGGAAGGGCTACATTTTTGGGTATGTCTGTTCTTCTTATGATTTCTGGGTATATGAGAGGATTGCCAAGAGAAGATATATAAGTGCTTCATAGAAAAAATTGACAAAATGCTAACATATCACCTCCTTCAGCTGGTCTAGCAGCAGGTGTAACCGAAGCCGTCGCCGTGGTAACACCCATGGAAGTAATAAAGATTCGTCTCCAAGCTCAACACCACAGTATGGCTGATCCTCTCGACATACCAAAATATCGTAATGCCGCACATGCATTATATACCGTTGTAAAAGAAGAAGGATTCGGTGCTTTATATCGTGGAATATCTTTAACCGCTTTACGGCAAGGTATGTTTTCTCCTTTGTTATCAATTATTTCCCATTTCACCATCCCCGCATTGCCCCACCACGTTCCCCAGACCATGCACGGTTTGAGTGGTCTGCAGTTCAATTTTCATCCTAACCTCCCCCAGGTTCGAATCAAGCTGTAAACTTCACCGCCTATACCGAGTTCAAAGAACTGCTCCAGAAATGGCAACCCCAATACTCCGACTCCCCTATTCCCTCTTATCAGACTACATTAATAGGTCTGGTATCTGGAGCTATGGGTCCTCTATCCAACGCACCTATCGATACCATCAAAACGCGTTTACAAAAAACTCCGGGAGTACCTGGAGAAACGGCACTCAGTAGGATAAAAACTATTGCAGGGGACATGTTCAGACAGGAAGGATTTCATGCGTTTTATAAGGGAATTACACCGCGGATAATGCGAGTTGCGCCGGGTCAGGCCGTCACATTTACGGTTTATGAATTTTTGAAGGAGAAGTTGGAGCATAGCGATATGCCATTGTTTGGAGGGAAATATGAAGAATGAGTGGATATATGCGTAGAGAAAGGGGATAACGGGACTTTTTGAGTATATATCCAGAATTCACGAGACGTTCGGATAGAATGTGGGGAGATATAATGCCGTTGTGTGATATGGTATTCTAAGAATGATCATTTCGCATAAATATCGCCTCGTATAGGAGAGAGGGAGCACCCATAAAATCTTAAACCAAATTCATATTTTCCTTTCGCTTGATAATGTGTCGGGAGTCGAAATTTATCCTAAATATCTATGCTCTTCCAGGTCTCTTGGGTCTGGCAAATGCTTTCTTCACCTCTGCCTTAGGATGTAAATCGGAATCGATACTTTCTTGAGAAATATCCTCGGGAGAACCAGCTTCGACTCTTTTCTCAATGGTGAGTCCTGCCTCTGACTCAGCTAATTGTTGAGCGGATCGAGACGATGATGCATAGATCATTCGTTCTTTTATCTTGGAACCTGAGGGGCAAGTGTAAATGAACAGTATTGGAGAGGAAGTTGAGCCGTTATGGTCGTGAGTGTAGCGATAGAAAGAGAATCGAGGCTCGGTTGCAGATATAGTGTTGCTGAGTTCTGAGATAGATGTTTGCGTCTTTGAAGCAAGTTCCATGGTTTCTTGCGCAATGTTCATTTTCTAGGGCTTGTCAGCCATTAGATATCAATTCAAGGAACAGCGAAACTTACGATCTGAACCAGGTTATGTGCACCGTCCTGATTGAGCCCCTTTAAGGCTTCTAATGCATCTGGCGTAGCTGGCATACTAATACCGCTACTTACATGACTCTTCCTCTCATTCATACCTCTGCCTTCTTCTGCCTCCTTCCTCTTTACCTCGCCCAGACTTTGTTCCTCTTCTGTTAATGGCGCAGCCAATTTGACATGCTTATCATGCTTAGCGAATCCCTCTTTTGTCAACTCCTCCTTCATAGTCGCGAATATTGTTTCTCTGAATCGCTCGATTCCCAATTCTCGAACCAAGGTAAGACGTGTAGAAGCAAACAGCATCTTCTGACGCACAGGCGCAGAGTCGGGAACATAGGTTATGGCAACGAAAGGGGCGGGATCATTGGAGGGATAGCGACGAAGTATTATGTATAAAGCAGCCTTTTCTTGAAGATGAGGTGCTAGGAGGTCGAGATCATTGTCGAAGGATGAAGTGGAGGGTTCGAGGATAGCGGAAGGGGTGAGACTTTCTCCAGTGATGGTACAGAGAAGACCTCTTTGCGATTCCGTAGATACGAACGTTTTGAACGCCGTGTGAAGTTCTTGGGAAGCTGTGAGAATACAAGTGGTTAGCTCTACTCAGAACAACATTGAGATGCTGCTATACCTGTTATTCCAGACTGCATTTTGACGGGTTTGTTTGTGACACTGTAAGACTTAATTGAAGAGAAGAATGAATGTGCTCGATTAAATGTATTTAATAATCCAAAAACTCGGAACTTTTGACACGACAACAAGTACAACAATGATGACTGCGGGGCGCGAATCAAATAGATTGGCAAGGGGGGAAGTTGGGAACGAACGGTGAATCTTAAGTGGGGCACACTAAAAGAGGGGCACCTTGCATAAGAGAGCTTCAAGCTTTCCTTTTTTAACTTCACATTCACTCTATCTTTTTAGACTTCACTTCACTCCCACATTGCATCGCATCGCATAATTGCAAACTGTAATTATATATTCTTTAATCAAGATGGAAGGTGCGCAGCAGACTACAGCTGCTTTAACTGGTAAGTTGTTTCTATTTATTTACAACTCTCATGATTTCAACGCACTCAATCTTCGGCTTGAACAATCAATACAATCACGATTTCGACAGCGACCAAAACGAAATCGACCAGAACGAAATCGATAACACAGCAAACGCAACTCGAATTCAACATGTCTGGTGATCGCGACTTTTGGAATTCTTCTCGCGATGAAATTATAGGAACGGTCTCCGGAAATTCATTTGCTACTAGTGATTCCACCATAGTCAATGAAGACAATGTAATCGATTCCTCAGCCCCTTCTCGCCCTGGATTTATGTCTGGAACGATCTCGAGTGACTACAACATGGCCAATGATTCCATCAGAATCAATGAAGCCAATGCCGCCAACTTCCTGGTTCCTCCTGGTAGTGAGCACATGTCTGGAGCGCCGGCTAGTCATCCTACAAATTATCTCACTGGAATCAATGAACCCAGCGTCACCGATACATCAAATTTTGCTGGCCCTGGGCCCAATTCTAGGATACCATCAAGTGATTCCGTCATGACCAATTGGCCAATGGTCTCCGACTCATCTATGATTCAATCTATCGACGCCGTAGCGACTGAGCCTATGTCGTGGATGCCTGGTCCAGAGAGTGCCATGCCCTACACTAGTGGCTATCAATTCGGAATCCTGCCTTCTCAACCCATTGGCGCTCTGACTTACGGGCTTAACATGCCTTTACAGCCCGTTGGGTCTACTGATGAAAATACATCAAGCACTAGATTGCCCTACTACGGAGTTGGCATGCATCCACTACTCGTTGATTCTACTAGCGGAAATGCATCAAGCGCTTTACCCTACAATGGAGTTAGCATGCATCTACAATCTCCCATTGAATTTGCTGGCGAAAATATCACAAACCCCAGCTTGCTTAATGAAGATGCAGCAAACGAAGTAGTAGGATTCGCTGAACCAGCCTTCAACAATCACACGCCGCATCAAGGGGCTGCAAGTCTCGGTTTGCCCGGGGAAGTCACAGCAGCCAACGAACTAGTTTTCGACAACGGCACGATGCGCCAAGAGGGTTCTTCTGCACAAATGACCCAAAATAATAGACACATGGAAGTGTACTTAGATGTTGAAAACATATCTATACCAGACTTGCCCAACGAAGTCACAGCAACCGCGGAATCAGTTCCCAACAGCGAAACGTTGCGCCAAAATGATCCTTATGCACAAGTGGCTCAGAATGATGTGTCCATGCAAAATCTTGTAGACAATGGGAATGAATCAAGGTTTTCCTTGCTCAACGCAGACGAATTTCAAGAATTCCCAGAACTCCCAGAATTACCTGAACTGGTCTTTGACAATAGCATGTTGCATCAAGATGATCCAATTCCAAACTTGCCCGACGAAGTCACAGCAAGTGAGTTCGCAGGACTACCTGAACTAGTCTTTGACAATGGCATGTTGCACCAAGATGATCCACGCCCCAACTTGCCCAATGAAGTCAAAGCGATCACCGAGCCAGCTGCCAACAAGGAAGCCGCATCAACCACGGGAATAATCGCCAACAACGAAGTCACAGCAGCCAGCGAACCAGTTGCCAAAAATGAAAGACCGAGTCAAAATGATACAGTCCAGAAATACGAACCTATTCACAACGATGGCTCAGCTGATAATCAAGCCGAACTACGCAGATCCAAAGCTGACGAACTTACAGATCGCCAGGAACGTGCTATCGCTGCTCTTCTTATCCGTTTCCAAAATCTTGTCAAGCTTGCTGCGTTACCTAATGAAGATGCATTTACGAAGGAGACTGCGGCTGCTGAGGGATTGAGAATGGAGGTTGAGAGTAATGCCTTGGTACGTATATTCTTATTTCATTCATCTAGCTTCTATAGTATCCGGGGTTAAGCTTAGTGGGTATCACTAATAACTGTATGAGCAGACAAGCGCAGCAGAAGACCTCTTAAAGTTGACTAGAGAATTGAAGGAGTTTTGGATTTTTGGGTCATTAAGAGGAATCGGCGAAGGAGAAGGTGATGGAGAAATGGAGATCGATTCAAAGAAGGTCGCGGAATTGATTGAGAAGCAATTGGAGAAAAAGCATGAGCAAGAGAAAAGCAAGGCATAATCAAGATTTACACTGAATATTTGGCGTTCAAGATGGGGAACGGGAGTATACTGGACTGGCTGTCTTATTTCCATGGAGTATGAGAACAGGTGGTAGATACCAGGCGTTTTGGTAAAGCCCTGCATCAAAATGCTTCTCTAAAAAGGATAAATCTGAGGACATCAGAAATGTCTATTCTTAGAATTCATGTAGGTAAAAATTCTTTGATTCACATTCACAGTACCTAAAAATAAGACAATATAAAACAAGGCAACGAATCTTAAGTCGAGGAATTAATAAACTCTTTGTAAAGTATGAGATTATTGGCTGAGATCAAACGTAATGAACAAGGCTGAAGTACGGCTGATGTTAGCCTTATTCACTAATTAGGAAATTTTCCAACAAAGAAATTCTGACAACCCCAACTCAAAAAGTCCAGGCTCTCTCAATGCTTTCTCTTTACAAAACTATCAACCACAATCGCCTTGGATTTCTACGTTCGATTACAATTGCAATGTCATCTCCACCAAACCCTAGAGCTAGAAAGCAACCTCGTAGAGGTCGTTATTCTTCTCAATTAGCAAGTACCAGAGGAAATGCCAGGAATGCCAGAGGAGGCAGCCAGGCTCAAAATGTATCACCTACCCAAAATGCATCACCTATCCAAAATGCAGCATTTTCTACTTCTACATCCTTTGCAGAAGAAATGGCTGCAGTTGCCGCTCCTCCACTTACCACTGCAGTCCCTCTTGATACTCCACGATTCGCAGATCTCGGTGCTGAAAATCTTCTCAACCCAATTCTTCTCCAGACCATTACTGAAGACTTGAAATTCGACCATATGATGCCGGTGCAAGCTGCAACTCTTCGTCCCTTACTTTCAGAACGCGCGGATTGTTTGGCACAGGCTAAGACTGGAACTGGAAAAACGATTGCTTTTCTTATTCCTGCAATTCAGACACTTATTAACAAACAGAGACGTCCTCAAGATGGAATTTCTCTGTTAGTCATGACACCAACGAGAGAACTTGCCCAACAAATAGCAAAGGAAGCGAGTCAATTATTACAACGTCTTCCTTATTATAAGGTTGGATTTGCCATCGGTGGTACCAATAAATCTACAGAGGAGAAAAATATTTTGAAGGGCTGTAATATCCTTATTGCTACTCCCGGTCGATTATTCGACCATCTTAATGATGAAAGAATCATCGATGCTTTCCGCAATCTCGATACTATTGTTCTTGATGAGGCAGATCGATTACTCGATATGGGATTTATGAATGCCATTAAAGATATTATCAGATGTCTCCCAGACAAGGCCAAAACCAACAGACAAGGAATGCTTTTCTCCGCCACTATTGCTCCTCATGTTGAAAAGGTCGCTCACTTAGTTCTCTCCAAAGATTACAAGTTCATTTCCACCATTCCTAAGGGAGAAGTCAATACCCATGAACGTGTTCCTCAACATCTTGTTACCGTTCCAAATTTCTCTGATGTGGCCCCAGCAATGGTAGGTTCTATTCGTGAAGAAATGAAATTGGAAGGTAAGGATAGCTTCAAGGCTATTGTCTTTGCGCCTACCGCTGCCCTTGTAGATTTCTACGCCGATATTCTCTCTCAACTATCAGATCTCCCACTCATCACCGCATTACATTCTCGTGTATCTCAAAGTAAGAGAACAAAAGTCACAAACGATTATCGCGAAGCCAAAAATGGTGTTCTTGTAGCTACAGACGTAGTTGCTCGTGGAATGGATTTCCCGGGCGTCACTAACGTCTTCCAAGTCGGTATTCCAGCCGATAAAGAATCTTACATTCATCGTTTAGGTCGTACAGCCAGAGCTGGCAAAGAAGGTCGCGGCGTATTCATCGTCACAGATGCCGAAGGAGCATTTCCAAAATGGACGTTGAAAGAAATCCAATTCCTACCAACACCCGCAGATCTGAGCTCTGCCAACGATGTTTTAAGAATCGCATCGAAGATGGATAATCATTCCAAAACATATCAAGCTTGGTTAGGGTACTATAAGAATCATCTCAAACTTATGAAGTGGGATAATGCGGAGTTAGTCCGTCAAGGCAATATTTATGCAAAGGAGGGATTGGGTGCACCGGAGACGCCAACGCTTTACAGAGGCATTGTGGGAAAGATGGGACTTAAGGGTACTCCAGGTTTGACTATTATTCCAGATCCTCCTAGAGTTCCACATGGAGGAGGAAGAGGTGGTGGTGGTGGTGGTGGTGGTGAGGGAAGAAGTGCCGGGAGTGGAGGCAGAGGTGGTAGAGGCGGTAGAGGTGGTGGTAGAGGTGGTGGTAGAGGTGGTAGAAACTGATAACCTCTGTGGTTTATGTGGATATGGGTATGAATATGGACGATGATGTAGCGTTGCCATTTTTACACACTTTCCGTCGTATTTCACAAGTATGTACCTTCACGCCACGACGACTCAAAACACAAACACGAAGCGTCTATGAATTTTATTGGCTAGTCGATGGATAATCTCATGTATAGTTGGATAGAAGGAAGGATAGAAGGCTAGATACCTACAAAATAGCATGGCGTAGTAGGCGTTTCATTTCGTTTTCAGCGGATAAAATGGAGAATTGGGAATCACAACTACGTACATATGTCTACCTCCGTAGGTAGCGGAGTAAATAGATACTATAAAAGTCTGTTAGATTTCTAGTTATACATCTAGATAGATGAGATAGATTTTATTACATTCTATCATATCATGTTTTACTAGAATGGGGATTGATTATTTTCACTGTGCTGTGTTGTGTTGTATGGTGGTTTTGGCCCTGTGATATATTTTCTGTTCTACCCGTTTCTGTACTATACAATATTATGCTACCTCCAGTTTCTGGAGCGTGGTTAGATGAAGTCGGTGAAGGTGAAGGAGGTGAAGGTGAAGGAGGTGAAATAATCGAACCCTTTCTCTTCTGGTTTATGAAAATGTAGGTATGTAGGTATGGAACGCTAGGTATTTGAAGGTGTGATATTGTGATTGGAATAGGGGAATTAATATGTGGTATTTTGATGGGGCATTGTAATGTGATATTGTGATGTGATATTGTAATGTGTGATTGTAATGTATGATTGTGATTGGCATAGGGGATTTCATATGATGAAGGTGAAGGTGAAGGTGAAGGTGAAGGTGAAAGTCTATGAATCTCTCTCTTTATTTCTACTTTCTATTCTCTTCTTGCTATTCTCTTCTCTCTATCCTCTGCTATCGCTATTAACGCAACGCTATTCCCATAGGATTGGGATTGAGCGTAGAAAGTAGAAGTAGGAGTAGGAGTAGTTATAGAATAAAGTGAAAATGGGAAATGAAAGTGAGAAGTGAAAATGGGAAATGAAAATGGAAAATCAAAATGGAAAATGAGAAATGAGCAAGGAGGGAGAATCCTAGAGGATGATTATTATGCTTTACACGGGTTCCAGAAGTCAAGGGAAGAAGTTGAGGGAAGAGGAGAATGAGCAAAGAAGGGGAGGAAGTGGAAGATAGTATAGGGACCTATCGATTGGAGAATTGAGTTTGAGGATGTGAGGTGGGTCAGGCGGGAAGAGGTGAGATGAGAGGAGTCGATTATAAGTTATGGAGAAAAAGGGAGAATACCGGTATCTCTAAATTCGGAATGAATGAGCCAAAGTGAGATAATGACTTGGATATCTGGTACAAAACATGTTGAATTAGGGGCGTTAGTTATAACGTTCAGGTCGGGTCAGGATGCAGTCATTTACAAATTACATATAAAATATAGATAACTTTCACTTGAAGCTGTTTAGATCACATGTAATCATGGTGTATTCACTCAAAGGAAGAATGTTCTCGAGAAAAAATTGCTTTTTATTTCAATCGAAAATCGCTAAAATATCAGCCATCATTTTTTTGTGGCAAACTCCAGAACCCAGCCATTCCTTTCATCCCAGTCATGTCATAAAAAAAATAGATATAATACATTTATCTGCAGCAGTAACCACCGTCAATGACGATGTCAGCTCCAGTGGTATAGGTGGAAGCATCAGATACCAAGTAGACGTAGGCACCCTTCAACTCCTTGGCTTCTCCATCACGACCCATAGGGATCATGGACTTCCACAAAGCTTGAGTCTTTTGGTCGACAAAGTCGGAAAGACCGGTGTCAATGTAACCTGGGGAGATGGAGTTGACACGGGCAAAGTCGCGCCATTCGTTGGCGAGGGAGCGTGCCATGTGAATGCATCCTGCCTTGGCAACGTTGTATGAGGTTTGTTCTTGTGGGAAGTTGGCGATGTGACCGGACATCGAAGCAGTGATGACAAAGGAACCAGTTCCGCGCTCCTTGAAGTGGTGTCCAACAGCCTTTGCGCAGTGGAAGGTTCCGTTAAGATCGGTTTGGATGACCTCGTTCCCTGAAGATGGTTATCAGCAATGGTTCATTACAAAGAAAAAGTAGCGATGGGAAAATAACTTACAGGCCTCAACAGTTCCATCTAGAATACCGCTATCAGCAGTTCTACCGGCGTTGGCGATGAAAGCATCGACCTTTCCGAATTCCTTGACAACATCGGCAACCAACTTCTCCACGCTGGCATAATCACCAATGTCCAACTTGTATGCCTTAGCCTTAACACCATATGTCTCGGCCAATTCCTTGGCGTTCTTCTCACCTCCCTCAGGACGGGAAGAGTATGTGATGGCGACATCAGCTCCCATCTCGGCACATCCTCGTGCGGCTTCAATACCCATTCCCTTGGGTCCGGAAGCACCGGTGATGATGACAACCTTTCCCTTCAAGGAGAAGAGGTCCTTGAGGGAATCAGCTTTTGGGATGGAGATAGGCATGATGATTGAGCGTTGTGTTTATGTTTGGGTATTATGAAAGAGGAAGAGTTGGAGTTGAGAGATGGTTGTTCTTGAAGCTTTGAAAAAAGAAGTTTTTGTATGTATGAAAAGAAGAAAAGAAGAGGAAGAGGGGAAGATGACTTGTATTTATTCTTTTTTCTCAGTCTCACCTTACCAGGATCTCAAAGTCTCGACAAAAAGAAGGCACTAGATTCCGAGATTCCGACAAGGTAGGTACGTATCTAGTAGATAGACGCTTGCAGCTTTTTCTCTCAGCGTACTATCTGAAATTCTGAAGGGCACTAAATGCGGGGCAGACCTCAAAGTACGAATGAAGCAATGACGTTCCTGAAGACCCCACCTGCTTGCGGTTGATCGTTCACTCTCTCCTTACCAGGTTGGGACATCGTAATGCTTGATAATTTGATTATGGAATCATGATGCATCGAGATGATGATGAGGAAGATGGGGACCTTGATAGTTGCGATAGATGTATGCTTGGGTAGGTGTTGTGTTGTGTTATGTATTGTGTGTTATATGAATTATATATTATGTTACTCGATTTTATCAAGCCTTCTTATCTGTTTACTTATTCATTTATGTATTTGGGTATGTATGTATGTATGTATTTATGTATTTACGTATTTACGTATTTACGTATTCAGTATTTATATATTTACGTATTTAGTATATATGCATTTACGTATTTGCGTATTCATCTATTTATATACTTATTACTTATCACCTTTATTAGATGTTATGGTGTTTGAATTCTTTCTTCACTCTAACATTTATCCTCCCCCAAAATGACATCATTATCATCATCATCATCATCATTATCAAAAATTCCCAAAATCCCATGCCCCGCACTAAAAGTTCTCGATATCTATGTCCACCGGAAAGAAAATAAAACAATCAAAGCAAACCCCTGACAACCAACAAATTAATTAAAGAAATCATCTAGATGTTTGGCGGCACAATCGGAATCCGTTACATGCATGGTAGTGGATCAACCTTTGAAGCTTTTCATGGATGGAGTTTCCACACTTTCTTCGGCTTGAAACTTGATGAAAGAATAAGGAGATTTATTCGGCCCGGAAAGGAGTACGTGTGGTTACTTATGATGTTAGTTGTGATGTTATGATGTTACCATTTCCACATGGCGGTTGTGGGAGTGAAGTGTACCAAGCATCGATACCTGCTACGATTTAATAATTCGATCAAGATGTCAACAGCCGAAGTTGAACCCATTGGTGATATCATATTTTTGGACCTCCATAGAAGACGTTTGAAATTCGTATCGTGGGATAAAGGAGGTAATGCTCCATGTTCATATGTGTTAGTCAGTCAGTGCTACAATACAGATTATGCATACCGTGTACTCACATTCACATTCACATTCACCAAGACATGTTGAACCTCTCAAGGTTATTCTTGGCCGACTTCTATCAAGGTCACACGCAAAAAATGCTTGACGGTTGGTTACTTATTCAGCACCTTGCATCTCATCAAAACCTTCTCCTACATTTCTGAATTCCACATTGGTTCTCACATATACCATTTACGGGTCTCGACTCTTACGGAATTGAGATCAAAAAGGTGGTTGGGATTGAGGCTTTCTGCCATCTCTCCATATGCTTGGTGGCGCAATTCAATCAATTGAACGGGAATGCTGTCCTTGGTTCCATCGAGCAAACACTTGACTACATTACATGCTCTGCACACAGAAGAGAAGCTCGAATTGATTCTGAAGTCGACACAAGATACCCTCAACTTCAATGTTGAACTTTGGACTCTCATGCCAAGTCTTTTTCAATGAAGCATACTCGATCAGAATAGGTAATGAAGTTTCTTTATCTTATCAATGTTCAGTCGGCGGTCCCCGATTAGGATTGATACGTTGACCTTGATAGACCAAATATTGCAACACTGGCGGCAATGGTGGGGTATTCAACTTCAATATTTTTTCTGCAAATTTTCATCTTTTGTTTGGTACAATTGTACTTGTTTCACTGGATGTTTCGGTTAGGAAGTATCTTCTTCGCATCTCATCTTCCTTTGAAATGTCTCCTAGACCGCCAACATGTCTTCATCCCTTGATTGCTCGTTTACCCCCTCAAATTCGCTTCCTGCCCTACCCCGCAGTTAGGATCATATCCATCTTGGTATTTATCAATATCATTGTTTGGGTGGCAGTGGCTATTGTTTTACGCTCTCATCCACTTCTATCTTCATCTGCTGTACTTTCATATACATTCGGCTTGAGACATGCTCTGTAAGTTCTGATATATGTTTCTTCAAAACCACTTCTTACCTCATGATCATGTGATGCTCCATTTTAAAACTCCGACTCATCAAGTCCAGTGATGCCGACCACATATCCGCCATCGATCTGATGACCCGTCGTCTCATCGCTTCCGGCTCGCCTCATACATCTCAACCAGTGACAGTTGGGACTTGGTTCTCATTAGGCCACTCTACCATCGTAATCATAACCTGTATCGTCGTCGCAGCCACCTCTGGCGCTCTTGAGTCACGCTTCAACTCTTTCAGTAATATAGGGGGAATTATCGGCACGGGTGTATCTGCTGGTGTACTCATTATACTTGGAATTGGAAATGCATGGATTTTATGGAAATTGGTGGTTAAATTACGAGCAGTTCTGAGGGAAGAAGTCGATGGAGATGGAGGCGAAACGGGATTAGGCTTTGATGGCGGAGGAATCATGATGAGAGTCCTTCGAAGAGTCTTCAAAGTGATCGATCGTCCATGGAAAATGTACCCTCTGGGCGTACTGTTTGGACTAGGTTTCGATACTAGTAGTGAGATTGCGGTTTTGGGAATTGCATCTGTTGAAGGTGCTAAAGGAACTAACATTTGGCTAATCTTGATTTTTCCTGTCTTATTTACTGGTATGATTGCCTTCCTCTTTTTGCATTGTCCGAATCATAATCTATAATAGAAAGTTTTGAGACGCGTTGGACTGACAAAAATAACAGCTGGTATGTGTCTAATCGACACCACCGATGGCGCACTAATGATGACTCTCTACACATCCACTTCTCTCGCCCGCGACACAATAGCTATTCTCTACTACTCAATCGTCCTAACTGGCATTACAGTCCTCGTGGCTATCTGCATTGGAGTCATCCAATTACTTTCCCTAATAGCGAATTTCTCAACAGGACCTTTCTGGGATGGAGTTAATGCTGCAGGTGATCACTTCGATGTTATTGGTGGGGGTATTTGTGGAGCTTTCGTAGTATTTGGAGGCGCGAGTGTATTACTCTACGGTCCTTGGAGAAGATGGGTTGAGAAGGGGAGAGTTGGAAGAAGAGGTGTAGGAAATGGAGAGGTAGAGGTGGAATTGGGAGATTTGAGTAAGGAGGCTGAAACAAGAGATGGAGATGAGAAGGATGTTGCGAGGGTCGCAGATAAAGCTGTTGAGGTACAGTAGAGATGTTATTCAGAATATAAATTAGATCTTTAGACTTGAATGAATGCTGAAGTACATCTTCTGCAGTACTGTATCTGGCTAAGTCGAAGTAGATGAGGTTCTAGAGATAGAGCGATTGGGTGGGGGTTGACTAAGCATTTCAACTTACCATTTTGAACTTTTCGACAACCGTAGAATTACAACTCTCTTCATCCCATGTTCTCGATTGAGACCAGCTCATAGTTCCGTTTGAAAACCCATACGTGACGGGAATGTTTGATAAATATGATATGATGAATCTTAGATGGGAACGATATATACATATAACGTGGTACCTTTTTAGATTAAATCTCTAATGTTTTGCATGGAGTAAGCTGCAGCTATCATTGACGGAATGAAGCTCCGAGAGGTAGGTGGAGCCATAACGTCATTGAAACGACGTTCTTTGGAATGAGGGGCAAGGAGCTCTTTGATGTTGAAGTAGAGAAAGCATTTCTTATTCGTAAAATATGAGAAGTTTCCACACATCTACCCTAACACGGCATTAAGGTAGAGTAAAATCGAATATGGCCGAACAAGATACACATGCCTCTCATTTTGGAGGCCATCCTATTCCTACTGAGAAAGTAACAGAGAAGGTATCAAAATGGAATTTGGCAAGCCTGGGTAAGCTTTCCTGTCCGTTGCTCAATTCAAGCAAGAATATTTCAATTGACGGCCGATGACAGGCAAGGCATCAACGAATAACACTTCCAACTCTGCCGTCTCAGAACAAGATCGTTTCAGATCCAACTCCTCTATTATCCCACCATGGAATCCACAAGTCAACGCCACAGCAATTGGTCTACTACAACGCAGTTTTCTCCCCGCTTTAACCACCAACACAACACTCTCACTCATCTCCTACACCATCGCTCGTCTCACCAACCGACTTGATCTCAAAGACATCCTCTGGCCCCTCGGCCCCCTCATCACTTCCTGGACCCTCGCCCTCGAACGCCACAACTTCGACATCTCACAAACATGGACCCATCTCGCCTATCCTCAAAAACTCATCATGGCAGGTCTCACAGCCTGGTCTCTCCGTCTCTTCTACCGCATCACATCGCGAGCCATCTCTCGCGGTGAAGACGACGCGCGCTATACCTCTTTACCGAAAACGAGAGACTTTTGGAATAAAACACTCTTTTCGACATTTCTGCCTGAAGCGCTCGTGCAATCTATCATTGCGCTTCCGTTTGCGATGAGTTTGGCGGCGCCCGAGGTCCTGATTGGAAACCAACCACTTCCTGGTAATCCGGGATGGCAACTGGCTAATGCGGCTGGGGTATTTCTTTTCACGACGGGATTTGCTTTGGAAGCCGGTGCGGATTGGCAGTTGGAGAGTCATAAAAAGGAACGAACGGTGGGATTGTTGAGAGATGGTGTGTGGAGTATTGTTAGACATCCTAAGTATGTATTTTTCTCGTCTCTCCTCATTCATTTGGTCGTTACTTGATTATTCAGTACACAACTAACATGAATCTCCCTCCATAGCTATCTAGGAGATGCACTTATCCATGCTTCTTTCCCACTCATTCTTTACGGAGCAGGAATCTTCCATCCTCTCATGCTTCTGGCTCCTCTTGCAAACTACGCGTTCTTGAGATATGTAGGAGGAGATGGACAAAATGAGAAGAGTCAGGAAGAGAGGTATGAGGAGAGAGATTTGAAAAAAGCAAAGGATTTGAAGAATTACAAGATGGAGAAGAATAGTTTCTGGCCGCGTGTAGATGAATTGAAAAATGAATGGACTTGGATTGTTGTGGGGGCTGGAGTGGCAGGTGTGATTGGTGAGTGGGGAGTTAGAAAGTTTTTGTGAGTGATGATGGGATGGTGGATGTTTTAAATGAGATTGGGTTGGATGAGGGATTGAGGATGAGGATGAGGATGAGGATTGGGCGGGGGAAGGTATGTGTAAGATTGTGTATGGAGTTAGGGGTAGTAGGTACTTGGCTTCTTTAATCGTTTTATCTAATAAATAAATGGAGTAATGCAATATTTATTGATGTCTGTTCTGATTTACTTTGAAAAAATATACTGAATACGCACTTGTGCGTCTCGACGGACAGGCATAAATGCAACATGGCATAGGTACTTCCTGCGAAAGTTATTAACTTTACTCCATAGACTCTCAACATCTTCTAACCATTACGTCCAACCCCGATATCAAGGTTCCCCTCAACTGGATCTCAGAATATATAATATATCACAGATATCACAGTGAGTATAAACTTTCCCAATGAGGCAGTGAAGTAAGTGCTATATAGGTATATAGATAGTCACTAGATAGGTAGGTAGGTATCCCTATCTCTCTCTCTCTCTCTTCTCTCTCTCTCTCTCTTCTCTCTCTCTGTCTTGGAATCCCGTTGAAATAGAAAGTGGAATTCGGGAAAATAGAAATCGAACTCACGAATTGTCATATTCAGATGGAATGTTTTTATACGTGTAAATATATGTATATATACACATACATTGGAATTAGGTGGGCAGGTAGCGGGAGATATGCAGAGCAAAGATTGGGTATCTTGGGGATGTTTCTAGGGGGTTTGTAGAGGGCTTCTCTTTGGTTGTTTGCTTGTTGGGTTGTGTGTTGGGTTGGGTTTCGTAGGTTGGTTGGATGGTGGGATGGTGGGATGGTGGGATGGGAGGATGGGAGGTAGAGTAGGTATCTTGCATTTACATTCGCATTTACATATACATATTACGGAAACGTACATGTTGTATCTGTATCTGTACAGGCATATATTACATGCATATATGCACGCATACATACATACATACTTTCTTTCCTTTCCTTTCTCTTCTTTCTTGGACCAGTGGGATTATTCTCTGGGGAGTACATAGGTAGTTGCTTTATATGTTTGAGAAAATAAAATTTCTCTCTGTTCTTTTCTTCAACTTCCTTGGGTTGTTCTGATTGTGAAGTGAATTTCACTTCGATTGCTTCACTTCACTTCACTTCACCTTTTCCCTCGCTACAATAAATACCAATCAAACGGACGCTTCTCAATTCGAGAAGAATTACGCACTTCCTACTTTGAGTATCAACCATTCAATTCATCAATATGAAATAAACCCATCGCGTGGAAACTTATACCGATTCTTTGATACGTGTTGCTGAGAGGAAATTTGTGTGCGTTTCAGTTTTTTTAAATTAACGACACTCTTGATATCTAGAGAGAGATCAAGATCGAAGCAGAGATCGAAGCAAACAACATTCCCAGGTATCGAAAAAATTCTCCATTACAGAAAGAGAGTAAAGAGAGATAGAGATACACAACAAAAGGAAATTGGTTGTACTCTCCAGTAGTTCTGAGTTTGGGTTTGGGTTTGGATTTAAATTCGACTTTAGATACCCAGGCGCAAGAATCGACAAAAAGGAAAGAAAGGGAAGGAAAGGGAATTATCATCAACGCGCTTCTTTGAACCTCCGTCAAGTGTTGTCACGACGGGTGCACAGATCTCGTTTTTGAGAAAATACTTACACATTGCAAACTGGCCGAACCCCATTTTTTTTACGTTCAAGATTATTCTTCGAGAGAGTTTGGAAGACAGGAAATAGAAAGAGAGAGAAGATTGATGGATGCAACGGAAGAAGAGGTTGCTAGACAATTGTGGAAGGAACAATTTGCGCAGGGTGAGAGGATTAGGAGAGAGAAGAGGGTAGGGGAGATGGATACAGAAGGGAGAGGGAGAGGGAGTGTGGGTAGGGGGATTAGTGGATTGAATCTGGATGGGCTGGATGAAAAGGAGAGGGATGGCGGTGTGAGGGTAGGAGGAGAAAGCGGTGGGGCTGGTTATGCAGGATATGTAAATGCTGGGTTGGGCAATGGGAGTGGAAGTGGAAGTGGAAATGGCCAGTTTGGGGGAAGAGAATCAGGACTTGAGGAGAATGAAGTGGTTTTGGAGGGGCCGCTGTTGGCGTTGAGAGAGTGAGTTTTTTTATGAGTTTTTTTCTAATGCTATTGATTTATTTGGGGTTGAAGATCAAATGGAGAGAGTAGTATGGAGTCAAGGAAAACAACTTCACACGATTGAAGCTGACACGGGTTGATAGAGCTCTACTTGAAGGACGGTTCTCCGACTTGACAATCTTCCATGGTGTACGAGTTTGGAATGCGCATAAAGTAGTCGTGTGTTCTCAATCGCCGGTTTTGGAGAGTATGATTGATAATACTGGAGTTTGTAATATGGTTAGTTTCTCTACCCTATCCCCTCTTCTCCCCTTTAACACTAAACCACTAACCCCCTCCTAGTTCGGCGCCCCCACCAAACCCAGCATCCTCAACCTCTCCTCCTTCCCCCTTGACTCCATCATCGCACTCCTTGAGTATCTCTACACATCCGCCTACTCGATCCCCTCTCCCCCACCCAACACCTCCCCCTCATCCTCAACCTACCTCTCCGGCCCCACCTACTCTATCCCTCTCCACGAACAGATCTTTTACCTCGCTTCACACCTGCAAATCCCCGCATTAGAAACCCTCGCCGCGGTATCCTTTCGTCACACCCTGCATACGCAAATCTCAGATCTCGACATCTATTTCGATTGCATCAAGCGGATATATGGGAAAACGACGACGGAGAATCCGGGATTGAGAAATGCGTTGGTGGAGGCTGCAGTGCAGGAATTAGAGGGAATGCTAGGGAACGGAGAGGTGAAGGGGAAGCTTTGGAGGGTGATGAGTGAGAATGAGGAGTTTTGGGAAGAGGTGCTTAGGGCATTGGGGAGGAGGACGGAGGTTAGAGTTAAGGAGGTGATTAGAGAGGTGAGGGTTCCGGTGGAGGTGGAGGTGGAGAAAATTGTGGAGAGGGTTGTTGAGCGGGAAGTTGCGGGAGAAGCGAAGGAAGATGGAGAGGGAGAGGAAGAGGGCGAGTCAGAGAAAGAGTGGACTCTATGTCCGGATTGTGGACCTAGAGAGGAAGGAGAAGAATATGAATTTAGATGCACTTGTAGGGTATGTGGGGTTGAGAGGATACTTAGCTTTTCTTAGATGCGTGTGTATTTGTATGGTACATGGAATAAATGGTGATGGATTTAATTGGTAAGGGGGCGGGAGGGCAAATGAATGTACATTAGCACTAGTACGAATCACGAACGTATGAGAAAGTAATGAATAAGAATTGAGCTGACGAGGGGATCTAACCAAGGCGTAGCCTCGGATTTAGGTTCAAAATGAAATGATATGTGCTGTAAACAATACTCTGGAGATAGTAAACAGAATGTCTGAACAATGTGGTAGCTGTAGAATCCTGATATATCTATCTACTATCTGATATCCAGCTTTCAGTATCTAGCGCCTATCCAATATCTTCGCAAAAGCAAAAAGGATATACGAAGATCAATATCAACATCATCCAGAAATCAAGACATCAAGACATCAAGACATCCATAACTACCCAGCTGCTCACTAACAATATGATTACTTCATTGTATGCACACATATAAACTCTACATCATAATACCTCAATCATCATGTCACATCTAATATATTTAAATCTATACCCCAAAGACAAAGACCGATGAATAGAAAGACAAAAATGCCCGTTTCGAAATCCGAATACATCAAAAGTGATTAGAAGAAAATTATTTACGAGTTTAAATCAACCTAAAGAATATTGCAGATGGAGGATCCCGATACATATGGGTGTATGTGGATGGGATATGTAGAGATGTGATACCCGAATATATGAATAGGAGGAAGAAATGCACAGATTTACTTAAGATATACTTCATTCGTCTTTTACTTTCTAGGTAAGTTTCTCAGTACGCAGAGGATATTCACATATCCGTAGAACCGTGTGTGATATTCAGCACCTAGGTAGTCATCACATACGCTCCTGCATTTAGATGCATGAAATATGCACAATAAATCGATTTTCATTCTCGAGACAAGGAGAAGTTACTTCGGGAGTTGTTCATCATCAAAGGGCTGCTGAATTTCCGGGGTTTCTCGAATTGAAAGTTTACGATGCCTTTCTTACACATTCTGGAGATATATTCTCAGAAGTACATACGACTTTTCGTACACGTTATACTCAGGGAATAGATATTCTCCAAATCTCGCAAACAAATAGACATTGAACTCAAGCCTACAGTTAGAATATAACCCCATCGCGAACGGTATTTCAATAGATATTATGAGTACGAGTATATTATGAAGATTCAAACTACCAGGTGGTCTTTCTGAGACTATCGCTGTGAATATGAAGGTGCTTTTGAAGTTCAACATCACTTGATGATTTTGCCGTCACCCTGAAAGAACGAGGCTTAAAGTGTGGAACTGACTATTCGATACAACAACTCGCAAGTTGGAGTATGCTATGACATAATACACCTGCTATATTCTTACCGAGAATCTCCTAGGAATTTGAACCCCAAGGATCTCGGACAAGTTGATCTTTTATAGACTGTCGGATTGCATTCTAATCCTTTCTCCGCGAGCAACTTGTCCTGTCGAGATTCAAAAAATCAATTATGCCATACTTTGTTCAAAGCCGGATGCTGAATTCGGGAACTTATTTTGTAGCATAGGTTTAATAACTCATAATTATTCTTTCGTCGCTCTCATGATCAGTCACGTCGCACCATCTACGGTGCCTTCGTTCCCACAGGGCAAAAGAATTGGGACGTCTAGCGTAAATGCTTCGCGGTTGAGATAGATTTTGTCGTTGATTTTCTCGTGGGGTGGATATATAGAGAACAAAGTTAGGAAGATGGGTGTATACAATGAGTATTTTGTGATGTTTAGAGGTATTGATTGCTAGATCGCTTGCTTCTCAGTTTTTAGAAAATAGGAGTAGAGAGAATTATTTTGATGCAGCGGTTCAAGCGGTATTTGAGCGAGATCCGAGGGGTAGAGGGCATCCAGAAATATGGATTGCTTGGTTTTGCCGCAGGGTGGTTGCTGAAGGAAGTATATGTATGCAAAAACGAACTTTCAAGGGGCGGAGGAAAGTGGTCAAGAAAATCAAATGGCTCTTGGTTGGTTGACTCGATATGAAGCGATCCTATTGTTGGGGTATATTTTGACTCCATCGTCTGCTATATCTTACTCATCTCAAAGCAATGGCTCAACCCATGTTTCTATTATTCTCCTTCATGGTTCCTCAACCTTTTCCCACATCTCGAAGATATACTTTACGCCCCCTTCCTCCTTCACTCCCTCCACTGCCTCTCCTTCCCCAGTCCATTCTCGAAGTGCTTGAGTATCCGTCCTTCTCCATCCATTACCAGTACCATCCTCATTCAATTGAACCGGGAAATACGTATCGCATTCAAAATCATCCATTATCCTGGTCAATAATATCCTCTTCGCTTCCTTCAATTCCAGTGAAGCTTTATAGATTTGTCCTCCACCAATTATGAAAACTCTGTCGATCTCCTTTTCATCATCACTATTCGAGTCTTTCGCTTGACTCCTCGATCCGAGTTTTTCGAGTGCATTGGTCAAACTTGTTGCTGCATGTGCATCGGGACCGAGGTCAACATCTGAGGAATCAGAGATTTGTGCTCGACTGATCATATAGTTTGCTCGATTCGCGAGAGGTCGGAATTTAGGAGGAATTGATTCCCAGGTTTTGCGCCCCATCACTACTGCGTTTGTTTTCTGTTCAAAAATTCCCCTCGGTCAGTTTAAGGTATTTTCTGTCACTTGTCAAAATTTCCTAACCATAGGCCTTGACTGAGAAGAATATTCAGAATAGCATAGCTTAGCCTTCCCTTCTACGTCTCTGTGGAGAATATAGAAGGGTGTGAATTCAAGGGCCCTGCTCCAATTCTCCACCTGTATGTTATGTAAAGCTATACAGAGAGGTTCACATTATAGCATATATTGCTACGCAGGCAGAAATAATGGTAGAGAAGATGGCCAATGAAATCAGGCAACACATACCCCAGGACCAGCCCTCTTGGTAACTCTCGCAAAATAAGCCATTTCCTTTCTCAACCCCGTCCACGGAAGCCCGCCTCCTTTACCCACTCCCATCTTATTTGTCGCAGCGACGATGAGGGTAAACTCTTTAATAGGAGCCATAGCTGATATGTTGGAATTGGTGGACATATTGGGTTCACGAAACAATGATAGGAATTATTAATAGAGGGGTTGGAGGGGTAAAATTGCGAAGTCTGGGGAAATGTGTGCACGGACTAATAAATGCTTGTAGTAATTTATTACTAAGCTTACATTGTGACGACCTCCTTGCTCAGCTCGCTCAGCAGAGTATGTTCACTCAGACATCTGGAAAAAGAATTGATGATACAATTGCGAATTTCTCTCTTCAGACTTTGCCTTCAACATTCTGATTCTTCCTTGTATTATTTTGGCATTTGGTGCATTGTGCCAACTGGCTTCGAATGGCTATAGCTTCTCATCTCTTGCGACGGCCTTCTTGGATGCTTCCACTTGGTTCTTTTCTTCTTCGTTAACCTTTTCGCTATTTACGTTCGCGGGGGGCCCTGTAAATGCTATTGTTTGATACTGAAGAGGGCACTATTATTGATTAGTATCTGCTGGCTCCAGTTTGTCGCTTCAAATGTAAGAAAACGAACTCACACTCGGTGTATCCGCGCAAAATCTACATCTTGGGTTTTCAAGAGGAGTTTCACCAGAAATCTTCTGCTCAAGACGGACTGTTGAATAGTGCACTATACTCATATACCGCCATATTTTCTGTTGTTGATTAGCATCTTTCTTGGTGGGCTAGCTCTCACCATCTCATGGACTCACCTGTTTATTCACCACAGCTGCGATCAGCTTTGATTGGTTAGTTTCTTTCCTGTAGAAAATGAATGAACATGAACTTGCCTTTTTATGTTCTCTACGATTCCCCATTTTACAACCCGTACACGAGCACATTGGATTTCCTTCCTTGAGTTTTTAGTTATTAGCCTTTTCTTGCCGAAGATTATCTGGTTATAATCCGTAAAGAGCCGACATACTTTCAAGATATCTAGAACCAACTTTCCCTCTGCCGTATTCATCAAGAGAGAACCGATATCAATTTGTTCGTTTCCATTTTCTTGAACGTCATGCGTCGTTTTCCACTTGACTGATCTTGATTCATTGCCATCCTCGCTAGCTCTTTTCAACTTCCTGCCTTTTGTAACTCTGTTTGCCATGATCGAATTCGAAGTCGCACTTGCTAATGCAGGTGTTTTCAGTAATTGAAAGGGTAGATTCGAAATGATACATGCACAAAATTGACTCAAGACCACGTAAATTAATTATACAATGCTTTAAACGATCGAAGACGGAAGAAAGACGTTATCTTAGGATGTCCTGTATACTATTTTATATTAACACTACCTTCAAGCTATCAAGACTAGTTCATGCAACGCTCCTTCTTTTCCCAGTTTTATATGCCCCCTTAATACTCTTCCTCTTTCATCAAGTTCTTGTTGTATCGTCAATTTGCAGACAGCCCAAAACAATCTAGATATTAAAACAGGATAGGACGACCTACCCTATGTTAGAATTACAATCTCAGCAACAGTAACATAGAGCTCAGAGCTGATTAGTTGAAAATATTCCTCAAATAGCGTTAGTGTAATCTTTCGATACTCCCAACACTCTGAGGTGTTCAAACAATCCTACCTCTTTGGAACTCTGACAACTCACAATTGTAGCCACACCAATCACCTACCTAAGTCACCTCGCTTAGTCGCATAATATATCACCAATCTGTGCGCATTGTTATAGCCACTCTTGTATCAACCCTGTATCTACCTGCATAGGGGTAAAGTTGCTGCTTGTTCGTTAAAATATATGTTTTGAATGTAACTTGGTCATGTAAAATTAAGATGGCAACCCTGTGATCGATTTCTAACATTTCTATGGAGAGCTTTCAAAGTGAAAAACAGCCAATAAGAGGATCGGGACCAGTTAATAGTGACGAAATACTTGTAGTTATCGCTACTGATAAGTAGATAATTGCAAAGCGTTGGAAGAGGTGACTATACCTAGGCAATGCAGCAGTATATATTGATATAAGATTCTGTTCATCAGACTGTATTGTCATTACCCTTCTGTAGTTTTCTTTTCAAGTTAATGATATGGCGATGTTTATACAGCCATGGTAAAGTGAACAACAATTCTCAGATAAAAGTATGAAGACGAGAGGAAATGCTCCCTACAAATTCCACCACATCCTCGAAAGCTTTTACTTGATTGAGGGAAAGCGCTTAGAATTGGTGACGATCAATGTTCAGAAACAATCTTTAGATTGCAAATATTAATGATTCAGTTATAAATTTGAAGACTCTGTCGGGTATAATATCTCTCCAAAAATTGACAGAAACAAACCCCTAGAAACCTCACCCACGTTACTTTACCAAATCAGTACTCCAAAAAAATGCCACTCCAGATCCGTACCTGCTTCATCTCAAATAACTAACTGTGTAGAATCCCTTCCCTTCCCATCACGACTTCCCTCTCAGTTCCTCTCAATCACTCCTTCACTCCTTCCCTACTTCCAACATTCAGAACTCCAAACTCACACTCTTCTCTTTTCTCTCACATCCACCAATTTTCCCACAACCCCCCGAGCAAGTAGACTCTGAAGATCTTTCTAACCTTGATGATAATTCCTCCTCACTAGTATTTGCAGTTTCATCGTCTTGGGTACTTGGTGATGTAACAAGTCGACTTCGTAATTTAGATGAGCAGACTTTGGAAGGAATTTTCTTGCTGTTGAGTCTAGTCGTGTCGTTTTTAATTCTGGGTATGTTAGCAGGACCATGGGAGAATGTTGATGTCTTGTGTCTGGGGGTGGCGGAGGGATGATTACTGTTGAGGCATGATGAGAATGTGTGACGGAGTGAATCTGAGTTGTAGATAAGATCGATGAAGGTTGTCTGTATAGATGGTTAGTTGATGAATAGTATGAAATATGAAAATATGAAATTCCATCCGTATGGTGATAATTACAGGGTATATCTTGATGGCGAATTCTTTCTATAAAGTCGTCGTTCAATATGTCAACGTGGAATACCGAGAGAATGTGAAATCGTTGCAATTGGAATAGGGAATATTCATCCTTTTCATTTGGCAGCTCAAAATCTACTTGCCGGTGGTAGGAAGCAATCGGAAGACCCAAGATAATATCGATCGACAAATGTGTCAAAGTGGCGTGATTTATTCGTAATGTGGCATGTTTTCGTCGAATGTGTTTCTATCGGCAACAAATGTAGTACGAGATAAAATAGGACGGGAATTGGATCATGTGTTGTATTTTGGGGTATCTAGACATGGGTAATATTTTTTGGAATGCGGGTGGTTATCGAAGTTGGGGAAAAGGGGAGACGGTGGATGCGGTGCAACATCATTCACCAAGAGTACATTGGCGATATTTCTTTTAGGACGGGTGGTAAAATTAACAATTAGACATTACATATTTATTTATGCTTCCAAGATACGTAGTCATATCTATTAATCTGACAGTGATTAGATAAGAGTACGCAGTTGCCTTCCGTCAGGCAATAGATTTTATCCAACCGACCAATATTACACGGACTCTTGCCTCTTTTCAACCAAGCATCTTGTTTATAGGATGTGTTGCCGCCGTATACGATTGACCCCTTGGTAGAAGCCTATCAAAGTATCAGCATTCATCACCCATAATGTCAAGAAACTAGAACTCACCAAGCCGCGTAGGATGATATAGAATTCCTAATCAGAATCAAAATCAAGACTATCAAGTGAGTCGTGTTGGGGCTCGTAGAAGTTAGTCTCATCTATAGCCCATTGCTCGTACAATTTGCAGAGCGGACCCCACTGCGCACTCTCTCTCAATGCCAAATCTTGTTCCTTGATATTCTCATTCCACTTGTCAATTGTTGGGTTTCGCTTTGTCTTGGAGAAGACTGGTGTCGTTAGACGAGACCAACGCTCGAGGAATTTGAGGGAAGCCAAAAGAGAGTCACCGGTTGGGAGTTTTTCGCGCATGGAATCGCTTTCGCAGATGGAATCGCGAGCGCTGAGCGAATCGCGAGCGCTGAACAATCTTGTGTAGTCTGCGAGCGATAACTTAAGGTCTACTACGTAGGGAATACCGCCTGAAGCAGCATGAGCTGCCAGAATGTTCTCAAATTTGTCCGAACCCTCTCTGTATGTTTTCATTTCCTCCTTTGTCAATCCGTACCCATTCGATGGAATATTGGCTTTACGGTGGCTCCAGTCTAGATCTTGACGTTTGCGCTTTCTGTAAATATAATGTTAGCCAGATTGATTGAGTAGCATGGTGTTTAAGACTCAGTGTACTCACTTTTGGTTCCAGTCCTCAACGGGGGAAGTGCCATGAAGCTTGATAATGCCATTTCTAAGAAATATGTGTTAGTCAAATTGAGTTTGCTTTGCGAGGCTGCACATTCGAAATACACATACCCCCTTAAGGCCATTTTGAACTCTGGATTTTCTCTCACATTCTTCTCCTCCGTATAATCAGCTACTGGTAGCAGGCTGGCCGCCATGATTGGGGCGCTATCAGGCGGTGTCAAATATAGATCTTGCGACATTCTCGATATTATTGATAAATAGACGAGAAGAGAATCAAATAAGAGAGTAGATCGATAGTATTTGGTGATGGAGTTTTATGTGTTGTTGTCACCCAATAATATGTGATTTGAAGTATATCTGGGTAGTTGTGATATGAGATTCAATCCTGCCGACAAGAAGTTATATATCGGGCATATTGAGCCAGTTGAGGTCGAGCGTGGTTAATTTGACGTCTTTAAAAGTCCTTTTTTTTGCGAAAAGACTGTTCTGAGGTGTAGGGTTATAGAGCGGAGGTGGTAGAGATGGAGGAAGAGAAGAAATATTGTGGGAACTCGTATATGAATATTTTGCGAGGTAAAGAGAGCTAACTAATAGCGCGGCCAACTGATTTTCAAACAAGTACTCTCTTGGAAAGAGAGTACTGTCTTTTATGCTATTGGTAACCGTTGGAATAATAGCTTTTTTTTTAATAGAAAGAAAGTGGGAGCGGATGTGTTGTACGGCAATTCGATATATGTTTTTGAGATTTAAGAATATTGATTTTGTCTTTGTTACACAATACGATGCATATACTATTATACGAAGCATCGTATATTTGTCGAGACCTACAATACCTACATGACTAATACAAGTGGCTAGTTAAGAAGCTGATTATCATGAATGTGATGTGCATTGAAAACTTGCTTCAACTTGCTGTTCGAAGGAATTTTAACCGAAGACACTGAGATTGTGTGCATTACAGAAGGATCGAATCGAGCAGAATACATGTATAATTATTTTGGCAGACAGGATAGCCTTGCAAGGTATTTTGCGGCTTCATTTATTGGAAGTGAGAGGAGCTTACACCTAGATGATACTCTGTGATGCTATGTTTTACTGTCAAGTTAGAACGGGGGATTAATATAGTAATGAATGGCAGCTGGACGCCGTTTTGCTTCTAACAGCCCCCACGAACCAGTGCTGTACTGTGTCATGTATGTCGAGATCAAATTTTCAGCAATTTTGCACTTTCAACGGGACCCAATCGGGACTTTGGAGTGAATTGCTTTACACGACTATGTTTCTGAAGATATTCCTCATGTTGTGATGTGATATATGCCTTTCAGGTAGTATGGATCGACTTTGCGGAGGTTTTGCCCTCCAGATCTTGACAGCACCGGCGAGATCGGTGAATAACGGAGCAAGACTTTCAATTAGACCAATGAACTTGACTTGGGCTGATTTTTGTGATAGACCGAGGTACGATCATCGTTGATGCGAAATCTCAGGCCAAGTATGGCTGATAAAAGCCAGTGGACAGCTTCTGAGCAGTGTATTTTTGAGAATGCACGACCCGTAATTTTTGCTGAAGGATCCTCACTACTTTGATATCATTGAAGATTTTGAACACGATATCCTTGGTATATTTCCCTGTGTAGATGCCCAATACGCTATTTAGTCATCATTCGAGTGATTATGTTATATCATAGTATTATGTTAGACTGTTGTGTTGGTCCACCAGATGGATTCTTGGAGGCTTCGATCATCCAAGTATTATCTGTGGGCTTTATCCGGGGTTGGAGCTTCTCTTTTCGCGGGGTTGACAAGGTCCTGGCGGTTCTGCGTTGCGGGGCCTCTACAAGGTGATAACAGGGTGATACCGTGGTCAGTTTATTGATCTGATGGCCTTCTAGGATACTCAATTTTATCTATAGCTTATAAGCATGCTATTATTACTTACAGGGGGCACTAATATCTTGACACTGGTCTATAGTATTTGCCAAGGGTAGCCAACCACTTGATCTTGGCTAATTTATTTATTATCCTTATATTTCAAATTTGTGCGTCTGTACATGTGATTCAAGTCATAAAGGCGGTGCTTGCAAATAAGATCTCAGAGAGGCAGTATAAAGCTACTACAAGAATAACTGGAACGAAAAGGACACTGGAGGTCTTCCTATTGGTTGGGCTACTAATCAAGGACCAATCGTCATGTCATCAATATGTCAAAATCATCAATAAAAAGTATAGGGAATGCTGCATAGGAGTACAGAAAAGCGAAATTAAGATAGATTTCATTCGTTAGAGAAGTACCAGTCAGTGAGGAGAAAGAGATGCTCTGTATGTGCCTACTAACATGATCTGACAATGGTAACATCATTATTAACCGGATGTAGATAACCCCGAGATCTTTTTCATTGAGATAAGTAGTTCATTCTTCGCTCGTACGCGCGCGTTGAACGCAATGTGGGGTAGAAGACCTAACAAGTGAGGTACGAATATGGTAGGGTTTGATATTAAAACATGGGTGGGGTATTATCATTCAGGAAGAGAACATTTGAATTTTCATTCAATAAGCTGGAACAGAGGAAGAGCATTAGAGTACCGAGAGGCTCTTCCTTCTTACAAAAATGCGTTCAAAAGACATTGTGGTGGTGCCTTCCATTTCAACCTCCAGTCGTTACAAAATGGTGATTATGTAATACCCTCGGTTATTCGTATATACATGAGTCTATACTCCACCACCGACAATGTATTATAAATTCTTCTTTTTGAATGTGAAGAACGCTTTAATCAACAGTTCAATTGATAATATCCATATGACTATTCTTCAGCTTTCAACAAAAGAATGTTGTAGTTCTTGGAAAGCTTCAGAAGACCATGTACTAGATGCAGGCTAAGCTAGGCTCACGCTAAATCTCCCTAGTTTCCCGATCATCAAGTCAGCCGTTTACACTCTGTGAATCCTATCCACGGAAGCCTAGGAAAGAAGCCGAGAAAGAAAGGGAAATCTTAGGCTCGAATTGGAGTAAAGGGTGGCATTTCTTTCCATTTATCAAAATCTAGCGTCTTACCAGCCTGTACTGTAATCCAAAATCATAATGAGGATAAGGAAAGGGCTGAACCACACTGGGACTAGAAGAATAATAGAATCTTGATAACTTGTCAACTCCAGACCCACAAATGTCAGATATGCAACAAATACTTTATAGCAATATGATTGGAGTATCGATCTCTTTACTAGTAGTTAGAAAATATTTAGACCGGGAACCAAAATGCTTAAAATGAGGCGATTCAACCCATAACTTCATTAACCAATAACTTCATTGAACATTCGAAATATGGAGAAGACTACACTTCAAAATCCAGGAACAGCTTGTATAACGTGATTCAAATGTCTCTAATCTACTATATTGAGAGAAGTGTGGGAGTAGCGTGAGCCTGATTCCATGGAGCGAAATGATTCGCGTCTTGAGATCCATATACCGACGCTAATATCGTAGGAATTTAAGATAGTCCATATAGAACTCCATCTTGCACCGCTTGAGATATCCCTCCCTATCTATCTTCAAAACCTCAAATTCTTAAAACTTCACAACGCTTTATGTGAACTATCTGTATAATAGCAAATACTACACGAATAATTATAACGAAAAATAATTGGTACCAGGCAGTAGCGAGGAAGGAACTGAGTTTCTTTAGACCGCTTCTGAAGTTTCAATCTATTGATACATAGAGATCGGAGCTATGAATGGCTTTTGGTATGCTCTCTTTCTCTTAAATGTCTTGGAAATTCGTGGGAAAGTTTGCTAACTTTGCTCCTCCAAATACCTAGTAAGCAGGAGCGTGAAAGACATCTCAAAAGAGATAACAATACAACAATACATTCTCAAACACATCTCCTTCTTTTGCTTCGCGAGAATAAAACCATAACATCTGTCAAGTACTCTTATGTATTCCTACCTGATACAAAGGAGGGCAGTATAGCGAACGGAATTTCAAAGGTCGGATAGCAAACACGATTCCCAACGATCACCTCAAGGGACTTACTACCGACTCTTTGACCATCATATCATTCTCCTTATAAGCTCAGAATTCGAGAACTCTGCCTATCTTACGCACCACTTATGAAGCTCTCGCAAGGTCGGCTTAGGATCTTTTGAAGAATTGTCGAATATAAGATATAACAATAAAACGCAAGCGGCGTACATATAAACAAAGTCCACAAGATATCCCTATCATAGTACTCTGGGCAAGTGTCTTATCCCTAGGTCAAGAATATTGTACTTTTTGTTTGGGTATCATGTGTTCTTTTTCCATCTTCCGCTTTTTCCCTTTCTTCTTTTGCGAATTTGATATCCTGTTATGGACTCGGGTATCCTGGGAGCGAGATAGGTACCTAGCAATTCTAGTGTGACTAATTCCCTTTCCAACACCTCGCCGAGAGGAATAGTTACTTCAAAGCTATAGTTTGCTGCCAAGTAGGTCAATGCAAAAGAAACACGCCTATAAGGAAATGACATCTGTCCTTGCCCCTCGAGAGTAAGATGTATCTAGTTTATATGGGTTGACGTGCATTTCGTTTTTAAATTTCTTTCCTCCCATGTCCAATATCCCAGTATGTTGGGTGATGACAATCTGGAAAATATTTTGCCGAATTTTTCATTGTGGGACTAGATCTAGAGTATAAACAACTACTGCTACTACCAGATACTATATTGAAGGAGCGAGAATATCAACACCACTCAGCATCCATGGAAACAGTACTTGCCGCCCCCTAAGGTACGAAGCGTCTGGTCGCTTGTTATTGGCAACTATATAGTAGTTCTGTAGGCCTTCGCCATAATTACATTTGTTTCCATTTATAATATTTTCCGTTCCAATACGTTCCATCTCGCTGGTTTTCGAAATCAATTTATCATGTTATGATGGCAAGTTGTAATGCCAATTTTGATAGTGGCTGATTTCATTAATAATACATAACCTTAAAATACAGTTGAGCGGGCTCCTCTAGAGTGGATTGCGTAATCATGATCATATCTCCTTTTTCATATTGGATCTATAGAGGCTTTCCCGGGGCCTGATCCAGTGGCAAGTCCATCATCTTGCTCTTGATACCAACAAGACTTGCTTCTCCAGCAGGATCACCAAAGGTCAGCTGACCACTCATGATGTCTTGATCTGAGAGTTTCTCCAACTCCTGCATGGTCCGTCTCATATAACTGACGATCGTCGCAAGTCCTTTGATATCAACATCCTC